AAAAAATATTTTTGAAAACTATTACAAAATATAATACTCCCTCCGTCCCATATAATATGAGTGTATTACTATAGACACGGGAATTTAGGTAAAGTATAATTAGTAAGTAATTAAGAAGTGTATTAGTAAAAATAATTATTATTTAGTAAAAATAATTATAGATTAAGATTAAGATAAGTAAATAGTTTAAATAAAATTAAGAAAATTATAAAATTTAAAATTTAAAATACGATTAAAGTGCATAATTATATTTTCAAAAATAGAAATGACAAGTTATATGGGATGGACGAAAATAAAAAATAAAAACAAATTATATAGGACGGAGGGAGTAGTAAAAATATAATTATAATATAAATAATTTTTTTTTTTTATCTCAACTAAAGACATTTATTTTTATAGTAAATTAAAAAATAATATTTAATACATTATGACGGATCAATCACCCGGGCAAACAACCCTCGAGGCTTATAGTTGAGTGTACGGTACTCATTCAATCAAGGACTCCTTAAACTAGTGTTTGAGAACCCCATAGTCTCTTAGAAAAAATATACTCCCTTCGTCTATTAAATAAGTATAATTTGTTTTTTGCAAGTAGTTTAATGTATATTAATATTATATTGATATGTAGTAGGAATAATTTAGAAATGACAAAATAATCTTAGTAATTGGTGTGGTATAAAGGTAATAACATTTGTGTAATATATTGTAAGTTGTAAAGGTTTTTGTAATGTTAGGTAGATAATACAGTTATTAAAAAAATAAATGAATACTTTGTTACGAGAGGAACCAAAATGAAAAAATGGATAGTTTGTTACGGGACGGATGAAGTATAAGATAGTTTTGATGTGTTTACTGTTTGTATTTTATGTATAAATTACTTAAATGTGTATTGATATATTTATAATTTATATAAAAAGTTAAGATTTTTTTTGTATTAACATGTAATTACTTTCACTGTGAAAATAATGGACAAAAATGATAAAAAAATATCTCTGCTTGGGACGGAGAGAGTGGCCTGACCTTCTCCCAACCATGGCCCGTGCGGCTCGTTTATGCTCGCATTTTAACTGCCCTAAAAAATTACAACTCAACTCTCTTAAAAGTAAAGGATAATCCGATGGTGATGTGACAAGACAAATCACACTAAACCTGACAACACAAATTATATAAGATGAACTATGTGTGACGGATAAGATCTGAAGTATCAAAAGTTTAAATATATGATCTTATAGTAAAAAATTTACCAAGAAAGCTCAAGATTGAATTTCACATAAAATGAAACTTCCATTCAAAGCAAACTTTTATTAATTTTTTCTGGAAACATGAAAGATTAAAAGATATACCGTTTTTCTTTTTTCTTTTTTTTCAATTAAACTTTTTTATTTTAATATATGTTTGAATGTATATTTTTTGAAAAAAAAATCTATATATATTTTCATACAAAATTAAAATATTTGCATGATTTAAAAATCAAAGCTGAACTGCAAGCAAACAAAGCCAATGTGTATATATATATATATATATATATATTAGGCAAAATAACATAAAATTCATCCGTGCTTTCCGAAATGTGCAGGATTACCACGAGATCAGAAAATTTTATTTCTCCACCCATGTTTTATTAAATGTTCCGCAGATTATCTCAGCCGTTAGGTACTAACAAAGATCGTATTTCACACATTTATACTACGAGTTTCTTTCCAAATTCCTCGATAAAAGTAACTGAAGTTACAAAAATACATTTCTGTATATTATTAGAAGGTGCAAGTCACCCAAAGTCGGGCGATTATCCATTTATGCTATATTGTATATGCTCTTACGTGTGAACCGAACAGTATTTGCTCTGCCTCCGGCGCTAGCTTATATGTCCAAAGTATTGTGAATCGACCATCACCCCCTATATGTTTTTTTATATTTAAAACCCTATAATATTGGTGTATATATTTTTAATGTTTGGAGTGTGAACTATATGTATACAACGTGTCTCTAAGTTTTTAGAATGCGTTGTTGTCTTTTTAATAGTGTGCTTATATGGCTCTATTCATCCAATGTTTTTTAATTGATTAATTTTTTGTGTATGGTATAAAAAATTGTGTTAAAAATATAAATTATATTATTTTAAAGTGAATATTTGAATTTTTTGACTTTTTATAATACATGTTCATATTTTTTTGAATTTATTTTTTGCATGTGGTGTAAGAATTGTGTTAAAAAAAATGTAAAATATTATTTTTTGGGACTCGCATTTCCAAAAATTTGCTCCATAAACAGATAGATTTTAATAATTTATATATAGAATATGATAAAATCATTATATAGAACAATTTTCATACTTAATAAAAGATTTTCATTTTCATTTTCATTGTTTTTTTTTTTTTTTTTTTTGAGTTAGGAGAAAGAAAAGAGCTCAGATGCGTAGTGTTTTTTTCAATGAATTTAGATTGATTTTTCAATTTCAAAAAAATAAAGAAGAAATAAAAAGAATTAAGAATAGAAGTTACAAGAAATGCCATAGAAAACACAAAAAATAGAGAAAAGAATGTCCGTTGTTTGCGGTGTTTTGATTTTAGATAATAAAATTTTGAATTGAAATAAATATTTAATATGATATAAATATGTATTAGTATAATACTTTTAATATAACATTAAATTTTAATATTCTCTCCCTCGGCCTTTAAGGTCATATTTTATATTTAATATTAAAAATATTTTATTTTTTTTTACAAATATCTTTTATTAGTACTACAATTTTGCAATTTTTTCAATTTTATATTCTTGTCCTTATTAATATACTAACAACTTTTGAATTAATTTTCAATTCAATCGATTAGAGCTAATAAGCAAGTACGGTACCCATAAATATTGCATTGTTGCATGTAGAGAAACTGATACAATTTCAAAAGCCTCTGTACATCTTCTTCAACGCAATATATACATATATATATATATAAATATTAATGAAACAATAGATCCTTAATTACAGCATTAATTATTTTATTCATCTGTCATTCAAATTTATACTCATTTTCCTATTTAAGTTGCCTTAGAAAAATATTATATTTTTATACTTATTTTTTTTAGTATAAAAGAAAAAGTAACTACTATTACTCGCTTTTATTAAAACTCGTATATGATCAAATGAGTACACATTTGCATTATGGAGGTAGTATTAATTGGGTGAGGTGTAAGAAAGTTTTGAAACAAGCGACGTCGTACTACACTGCCCACCCCAATCATATTGCCATCATTACATTACATTCACAAAAATATACATACATATATATATATATAGAGAGAGAGAGAAGTGAATGCCTGGGAAAATTCCATTCATTTTAGTTCATGGCTACTTCTATCTCTACCTCAGCTGTATTTCTGCAATATATGTATCTCTCTCTCTATATATATATATAAGATATACGTAAATGCTAGAGCTGACAAAAATTGACCGATACGACAATCCGATACGAAATAATTGGATTTGGATTAAAAATTTCAATCCAATTATGTATATAGGTGGATACGAATCCGACCCGATAATAAACCACTAAGATAAATAACAATTTTGTAACGAAATTTTTTCGTTCTTAAATTCACTTTTTCTGTTACTAATGATATTACGGAATTAGTGATGGAATTACGTTAGCTACGTGAACTTTAGGAACGAAATTCCGTTACAAATATGCTATTTTTTTTTGTAGTGAACGGGTCGGGTTAGGGTTGAGGCTCTCAACTCAAATTCGACATGAAAATCCAATTATAATATATTAATATTGATTAATATATTTATTATTATTACTTAAAATAATTATAATTTAATAATCTGCTCATAAATTAATTTAAACTAATTTTAATTTTAAATAATTTAACCTAATTCATTGTACATATTACGTTCAAATTAATAAAAACTAACATAAAAAGATAACACACAACAAAATATAATTTAATTTGAATAAAAAAATTCGAGTTAATTCTGTATACTAGTCAATACAAGTCAACTCGAATTCAACACGATAATAAATGGATCAACTCAAATTTGATACAATAGTAGATGGGTCTGGTTAAAATTGAATAATTTAACCCGTTTAAAATATTCAACTCGATACGAATTGACTGTCATAGCTCTGTATACCCGACTGAGAATTGAAGAAGCTTTTTATTGATTTTTTTAGGGCAACTACCAAACAAGACAAAAGTAAGCATTGAAATAAATAAAGAACCTCTAAATCTTTAATTCTCCTTTTCTAAAGGTATATATAAAAAATAAAATAAAATTGCCATGGATGCTGCTGTCAATGCGTCAGCCTCCACTTCCCAAACAACCTCGATCTGAATTATTTCCTGTAGTGTTCCACAAATACATATATATATATATATATATATTTCTCTGCATTAATTAATTAATTAATTAATTGTGAGGTTACAGTGATGATTTGGTCAAATTAGCACCCATAAAATATAAAAATAACACAAGTTTTTATTAAAAACAGCACATGTTATTTGTAATCATGCTATGTGATGTTTTTTTATAATTTTATGCGTGTGTTGTACAAAATGTCAGTCATGTGCTGAAATGAACTACTGTATGTGCTGTGTGAGAATTATCGTATCGTATTGTTAGTTCATGCGTTGTATTTGTATTATATGAATATAAACGATGTTGTCACTAGCGTTATCGAGTGTTATTTGCTAGCTATATATATATATATATGTTGTTTGTAATATAAATGATACGCTGTCACTAACATTACACCATATTATTTGCTAATTATTTATGCGTTGTTCGGCACAGCACTAAATTTGAGATTCTAACACTGTAGCCGCCTTCGTATATATTTATATAAATAGAGGCACACCAAAAAAAAGTTGCTTCCATACGCACCTTACCTTACTGCTTTATTATATTTTCTTTTTCCCTCTCTCTACAGATTCCTCCTTAAAATTAAGTTTTTTTTCTTTTTTTCTTTCTTTATTAAAATAATATATATATATATATATATATTATATTTTCCTCCTGCGTTCACTTTCTCTCCACTTTGGTGCCGTTCAATAGCAGCGTGAAGGAATCTTTCGAGTTTAGCTCTCCTTCCAATCCTATAAACCCTCAATTTAAAAAGCCCTCTCTTCTTCCTGTTCTTCTTCATTTTTTGCTTTCCTTTTCCTTTCCCCTTTTATTTAATACTATTTTTCATTCTTTCAAAATTCAATCCAACACTTGAGGTACATAGTTATCCAATTCTTCCCAATCTCGACCTCGAGGTTTTCTGTGCATGTTTGTGTTTCCATGGCTAGCTCCAGTGGCACTTACAGAGAAGGCAGCAATAATCACTCTGCAGCTTCGTCCTACAATGGCAGCTCTGTGCATGGTGAGTGGGGCGTCCCCACCTTCCAGCACCAGCAGACCATCTCCATGGATTGGACCCCTGAGGAACAGACTCTTCTCGAGGAGGGTTTATCCAAGTAATTCAATCTCAACTCAATTTTATTTCGACTTTTTTTCTTCTTCTTGTTTTGATTGTTCATTGATTTTAAATTTTTAAGTTTTTTTTTTGTTCTGGAAAAGATCCTCCCTCTCTAACAGATTGATTTTTTGTTGTTCTGATTAGAAACTCTGATTGATTATGCATGTGTGTTAATTTGATTTTGGCTTTCTCAAAAGTTAGGAGATTTTAATTAATTACTTGGTTTAGTTCGGTTAAAATTTCATTTCTGGTTCTTGATCCTAAATTAAATAGAGGATCAGATATACATAAACATATATGTATATATATATATATATATAGATATTGAGTAAAGTTTCTTTCTAATTTGCTTTTGTGCCTTCTTCTGCAATTCTTTCTTTGCAACCAATTTCATTTTTTATTTTTCTTCCAGATGGAGTCTGCTTTACATCTTAAAAAGTCATCTTAGATATATACATATACATACATGCATATATAAATATGTATATAATTCGTCTTCTTGGATATAATCCTCCACTCGGACATGATTCTAAACCTTAAAGAACATGAAATTTTCTATTCATGTAGGTTTCCCTAATCTCCATAAATGGTGGATCTAGCTCAGATGTTTTTTCCTTTTTTGTTTTTTGGCATTGGTTTTGACTTTTGGTGGGGTTGCAAGTTGGGGGATACATACATACATATATATATATATATGTGTGTGTGTGTGTGTGATTTCTAATTTATTGTAGGAAATGTATTTAATTGCACCGCTGTCGTGATTATTTTTTTCTTATGCATTGATTGAGAAGCATATGCTGATCATGTGCTTACAAGGAACAAACTTAGGACATGTCAACTGCCAGTTGCTTTTAGGCTGTGAGCATCCATCTTTACTAGGTAGATTGTCGGGTTTTTCAAGAACTCGCCATATGGCTTGGCACAGATTTGTCCTTAAGCTGTTGGTAGGTAAAACAAAAATACACCCGAACAAGTAGCGACTGTAGATTCCCACATTATTAAAAAAAAAAAAAAAAAAATACGGCCGAAGAAGCATGTGATTGTAATTTGGACATATAGTATTGGATAACATGTGTCCAAATCTTTTGTAAACCTTAGTTTCGAATTGTTTGTAATAATAGTTCGCTCGCCGGAAGTTGTCTCTGTTTCTAATCTAAACTTAATGCTGGTTTGAGTCTACACCATTTTATGGCGACATTCGAATCTCTAGGGAGAGAAGAAATTGGATGTATATGAAACTTTTGTTTTACTTTTTAGACCATTTGGTTTTTTTAATTTTTCATTATTGGAATTTTTGTTTTTGAATTTCTCTGTTTTGAGGAATGGCTGGATGAATTTTGTGTTCCTATTGATGCCTGCAGATTTGCTACTGAGTCGAACATTATCCGGTATGCGAAGATTGCTGTGCAGTTAAAAAATAAGACTGTGCGAGATGTGGCGTTACGCTGCAGATGGATGACAGTAAGTTTTACTCCAACAACTCGACTAAAGTTTTTAAAGTTTTCTAAAGGATTTATTTGAGCATCATTAGGACATGGAAATGTAATTCTCCGACAAGATTTGAGCTTCACATCTTTGTCACTTAATGAGATGAATTGATTTAGCAATCGACATTTGTCTCTAGAAGTTTAAATAAGGTTCTAAAGAATGTTATGTGTGATAGATATTGATCGATTGGTTCTAAACAATATGAATTTTTGTGTATAATCCCGAGTGATTTATTGATCTTTGCAGAAGAAAGAAATTAGCAAGCGAAGAAAAGACGATTCCAATGCAAGAAAGATCAAAGACAGAAAGGTAAGCATATTCTCTTCTAGATTTTTATTAATACTTCGAAAAGAGATAGTTTCATAGCAACAACATTTGGCCTAATTTCATTGCATAGCATCAAAAAAATTCTTACAACATATAAACTAGAATATAGCAATGTACATAAAAAATTATTATAGTTTCTTCGTCTAATTAAATTACGGTTCTCATCAAGTCATCGGCATTCGGTTCCTAGAGTGCATTGTAATAGATGCCCCAATTTTTGTCCATATTCACCAAGTATAAGACCAAAAAATGATGGAGAAACGATGATATATTGCATCCTCGAGTGTAATAAGCTACTCCCTCCGTCCGAGATCTTTATGTAGCATAACAAATAATCGTATTTTAATGTAAAAGTGGGGTAGTTAAAAAATAAAATGGAAGTATTATGGAAAGTAAAGTTAATAAAAAAAAATAGTAGGGTAAGTAGAAAAAATAGTGACAAATTGATTATTAAGTGTTAAACGAGGGGTAATAAAATTTTAGGTAGATGAAATTGTATAAGTTTAGCTGACAATAAAAAAAGAATCGGAAAGATGACATAATTATCCCGGACAGAGGAATATTTGTTTTTGTAGATGAAAACTTTTGAACACCAACTTAGATTTGAGACAACATATTCTCTTTTAATCTCTTACAAGGTTTGAGATTCCATTTTCCTCAAACATTGAGAAGAGGTTGTAATTGTGTCTTTATAAGCTCAATGAATGTTGCTGTTTGTTCTCTCAGGAAAAGGTCATCGATTCTTCACCGAGACTTTCTCGGTTAGGCATCCAATCTGGTTTGTCACAATTTCCAGGATTCAAATCTAATTGCAATGACGACGTCGTATCATATAATGGTTTGTTTATGTTTTCTTCATGACTTGTTTCGAAGTTTTTTGTCTTCGCTATTCGTAATTTAAAGTCCTTCCATTCGATGATTGCATGAATACAAATTTCATTTATTGATTGAATTAATCAAAGCTTTTCCCTTGATAAATTATCTAGCTTTGTATGTTGCTTTCCATTTGTTTGTAAGCTTTTTATTTCACTGTTGAACGATGTCTGCTAATGTTCGCCTATTCGCCGGTCATGGATTAGATGAAATAAATAAAAAGATAATTTTTGTGCAAGAATGAAGTCTTATTGGAACTTGACATCTACATCAATTATTTATCTAAATTCATTCTTTTTTTTGGCCATATTCAAGTGTTTTCGATTCTTCTTTGGATCCAAAAATGGTCTAACACATTGTTGATCTGTTTTGTGCAGTCATTACTGGAAACACTCGGCAGCTTCTTCAGCAAAATGCTTGGGTTTTTAAACAGATATCTTCGAATCTTGCGACGCATCAGGTTAATTATTTATTTTTTACACGCTTTCTTTACCCTTCAAACATTTTTGTTGTTTCCATATGTTTATGGCAACTTTACTAGCTCTCTAGCAATGCTTATTGCGCGGCAAAAGAGCATCTAAACAACAACATGAAGTTTTGGAAATTAAGCATAGCCTTGATAGACTAAGAATTAAAATGAATCGGAAATAACCACTCTCTCATCCTTTTGCAGATACACGAAAACATCAACCTTCTAAGCCAAGCTCGAGACAACATCTTCAAGATATTAACAAAGTATGTCCCATATCTTTGTCACACTTTCATTTAATTATTCGATCTTTATAAGTAGAACTTGAGATACATAGTGCAATACATTCTTCATCGCATATACTCCCCCCGTCTCATATAATTTGTCCCTATTTTCTATTTTCATTTATCTCACATAATTTGTCATTTCTTTTTTTTTTTAAATATAATTATACACTTTAATCACATTTGAAATTATATATTTTTTAATGTTAATTAAATTATTTAGTTATGTTAATCTTAATCTAAAATTATTTTTACTATATAATAATTATTTTTACTCGTACAATTCTTAATTACTTACTAATTATATTTTACCTAAATTCTCGTATCTACGGTAATGCGTCCATGTTATATGGGACGAAGGGTGTATAACAATGCACATCATCTACCTAGTCTCGTGTTACATTAAGTACTTTCACGCTTAAAACTATAAAACCGTATGAAGTAAAATGCAATATTTTGTAAGATGATAGTAGTTAACCCTTCGGTGCAAAGGGCCATAGTCACATTTTAGTCGGAAAATAGATAAAAAGACCGGTATGCGTTACAATGGCAATAGAATCGAGCTTCAAACTTATGTTCTTTAATTTTTTACGGATATGTTTACGAATTATATAATTTTTTCACCATATGTCGCTCGATGTTCAGCATGAACGAGATGGGGCCAGCCATGAAGAAAATGCCGCCGCTTCCTAAACTGAACGAAGATCTCGCCAACTCCATTCTTCCTCCCTCGGCATTCCCAATCCAATGATATAATGGCGCCTCTCTCGACAACTCACAGTTATTCAGAAATTGCCGGTGTCTGTTGGCGACAACGGGAAAAGTTGTAGTAAGTAGGCTTCAAGCAAATCCTTAGCAATGTTGTTGTTTCGGAATCAACAAAATATTAAAAGAAGGGTGAGTGAGGAGGGAGTAGATGGTTGCTGCAGCTATCTTCTTCGATATTTTGAGTAATGGTAATTTGTAACATGATGAGATGTGTAGATCTCAATCTGCTTAGTGAATCCATGGTAGAGTAAGCAAACATGAGATGGTCTTTGATATGATGTAAAGAATTTAAATCCTCCAAAAAAAAAAAAAAAAAAAAAGAAGAATGAAATCTTTTTTATTCTAGCCAGTTTGCAGACTATTAGATTTGTTCGAAATTACTTTTAAAAGAATAAAATAAAATAGGGTATGTTTCTTTGGCTTTTCGAAGTCATTCTTCTGGGTCAGCACATAAATATACTTTGACCATAGATTACTAGCGTGTATTGTCTATTATATTTTATATGCTATTTAAAATGCATTTTACATATATGTATGTTTTGGAGCTTTAGAGACAAGGGGCGATGACCTCACGCTCATAAGTCCAATCCTACACTACGAAGCCATCTCTTGCGAAATCACAATTCATCACTTGTATGGATAGCACATGGTGTACTAACAGACCCATACTATATTATTACAAACAATACATTATATGTATATTAATATAATACAAATGCAATATATGATACATGATATAGATTCACACAATATATATAACAATTAATTTTATCACATAATATACTTCTATACAACACACATTATAAGTATAAATAACAACGGATGTTTTTATTCCACACAGTACACACAACATGTGCTATTTAAAACAAAGATATGTGCTATGTATCTTTTATCGGTGCTGATTAAAAAAATAGTATTAAAAAAAAAAGAAGAAGAAGAAAAAGTCCTTGTTATACTATTTTAAATCAAAAATAAATATTTTATATAATATTTTGGGTCTGCAAACTACGCAAAGTCGGGCGTATCAGAATCGGACTGGTTCCACAGGTCAACACAAGTTCTTTCATGGCGCTTTTGTCCTTACTCACGCTCACCTTGAGAGACTTCATCCACATAAGAGAGTTGGCTAAACAACGACCTAACTTCGAGGTATCACATCCCCACTTTAGAAAAGGATTGTCAAATGCTAAGCCCTTTCAGCACGCTTCTGTTCTCGTTCACACATAGCTGGGAAACTTCCCATGAGTCACCCATCCTCACATCATCCTCACATCAGTAGGACTCTCTTTCAATCTATTTAAATTCTAATCAACTCGAATGACTTAATATCAGCACATCCACGTACAGGAGTTGGCCAAGTAATTAACCAACTCGGAGGGTATCACAATATGTTATACATATAACCAACATATATTTACATATAATACAATATATGCTGAGTTATAATATAACATATGCTTAATTATAATATAATATATGTTTTATTATAAATATATTGAGATATATATAAATATATATATATTGATTACTCGTATATTATATGTTGATCGGGTCAAATTAGTATCACGTTGACTTACCCGGATTCGAAAATTGATCTGTGCCCAATATTTTGTATACAAAAGCATTGTTAATACATTGTTGCCAAAAGTAATTTAAAATATGGAGGCAGTTACCTGCTGATGCATAATGCATCAATAGGGTACTGATTTGTTGTGGACCGTCCGATCATAGTCAATCTAGATTGTAGGGTTCACTATTAGAAAATTTGCTCTTAGTCTCGGAAAATAGCCTCGGATTTTATACTAAATTTGACGTTTTTTTAATTGGTCTTGGAATTTGCTTTCGATTGGTATTCGAGGCTAAAAATTTGTGATTGTTTTTAAAAAGTCTAAAAAACTTTGAAACTATTTTAAATAGTCTCGAAATTTCCGAAGCTATTTTGAATAGCTTTGAAATTTTCACTTCAAAAATTTCAAGACTATTCAAAATAGTTTTGGAAGTTCTGAAGCAATATTTAGATTTTGAAATTTTTTATTAATTTGTAAGTTTTTATATTTTATTTTATATTTTATTTTATTTAATATTTTATTTTATTATTTTATTTTTTGTTTTATTTATTTTTGTTTCTATTTTATTTTTTATATTTTTAAATTTTTATTTTTAAAAAGAAAATAAAAAATAAAAATTATCCACGTGTTTGCTAGGTGACACTAACCTAGTAGACACATGTCCTCCGGAATGCCGTATGTATCACGCAGACATTTCCGCCGCCGGAGAACTAAATGTGCAAAAATTTTGTCACTTGCGAAACTATACTATTTTAAGACAGCCTCAATTACGAGACTAAAATGATAAATGAGTATAATTTACTTAATAATATTTTATGTTAAATATTAATTTTTGTAAGAGAATAAAATATATATTGTGAATCATATAAAAAAAAATATGTTAGACAAACCTTATTTAAATAATAAAATCTCAAAATTACATTGTATAAAAAAAATTATTTATTTTTTCTTAAATTTAAAAATCTAAATTATTGTAATAATTTACCTTGAATTCGTTCCGAAAACTTATAAATTATGATTTTAATAAAATAATTTTCTCACTATTTAGCCCAACCAAACAAACCAATATTTATTATTAAAAAGAACTATAAGGTTTTTCTTATGTAATGTGGTTCACACCATTCTTATAGTAATATATATATATATTATTACATCGAAACACTTGATGCATTTGTTAGTAATAAGATATTTATGATAATGAAGTTTTAGTAAGTTAATAATAATATTTATAATATTATTATTATTTTTTTATGGTATTATTGATATTTATAAAATAAAAGTTAATATATATAATTTATAAAATTTAAAATATGTGATTAAATATTATAAACATTATATTTCAATAAATTACGTACAATATTGATATTATATGTCAAATTTTATATAATACAATTTATTTATTTATTTAGTTATTTATTCATGATTAATATAAATCAATTTTATAAAATATAGAAAATTTTAAATGTAAATAAAAATGTGTTTATTAAAAAGAGATAGACATGGAGTGATTTTGAGTAATATATATAAAAGATTATAAATTTAATTAAATTAATTTATATTTATTAAATATATATAAGATGAATAAATTTATTGAAAATAAAAATATGATTGTTATGTTACGGCCTAAAATAAAAAATAGCCTCAATTTTATAGACAGAGGAGGTATAAGATATCTTGCAATTTAAATTATAAAAATAAATAAATAATTTCTAAACACCATAGTATATATACCATTATATTTTTCTTCAAATAAAATTACTATTTTTAAAATAAAAAATAAAAAATATCAATATATCATAATTATAAATATGCAAAAATATACTTTTTAAATAAAATAATAAATGTATATATCTTCCAAATTAAACTTAAAAGTTTAAAAAGTAAAGAAATCTAAAATTGTTATATATATATATATACATAAGAAACTATAAAAAATAGATAAATAATTATCAAAATATCATAAGTATTTATATTTATGTACATATACCTTCCAAATAAAATTATAAATATATATATATATATTCCAAAATAAAACTATTAAAAAAATCAAGAAAACAAGAAAATCATAATATACTATAATTATATATACACACAAATATATTTATCTTTCAAATATAACTAAAAAAAATAAAGATATTAAAAAAATCTTAAAATACCATAAATATATACTATAGACAAACAAATAAATATTTATAATAAATAAAACTAAATGAAAATTTCTCAAAATGAAGAGAATATTGGTAAGATAAGCGACCGTATTGGTTATTGTAAGTGGATGATTTTTTATGTTAAATATAAAAAATCATGGTAATATAAATAATAATATTTTATTTTTTTAATTTATTTTAGACAAATATATATATATATATATAGTATTAATATGTCAAATCAAGAAGTTTATAAATAGGAGGTGAATTTGAGTGTTTAAATAGATGCAGAAGGGGAGTGATTAAGACACTAAACTGAAAACAAAAATGGGTTGGATTACTAATTCATGGGATGAATTGTGGTTTAGGGGTTTCTTTTTATTTATTTATTTTTTTAATTTAAAAAAAAAAAAAAAAAAAAAAAAAAAAAAAAAAAAACTGTTGTAGGGGGGTTAAATATAAATTATTTACATAATCCAAGAGAAGAACAAAATTTCTCTACCATTTAAAATAAAATACCTTAAACTTTTCAGGGAAAAAGAAAAGAAAAAATAAAATGAATAAAAGGAAACATGCAGCTCGACGATGATGAAATGAGGGAAGATAATTCCCTTATTTTGCAGAATTTCAGTAATCAACAGATGCCTGCTTCAATTCATACACACTTTTTGATCAGGTAATCATCTCTGTAGGTATATATATATATATATATATATATCATAATCGTAATTACAACATTTAGGATCATGTATTTTTTTAATTCTTCTGTTTTTAATTTGTTTTCGATAATTCTTAATCAGAATCAATTTTCTGCAATTGTTGCGAAAACACGAAGTTATATTTATCAACACAAAAATGAATGGGTTGTTATGATATCTTATGCAATTGGGAAAGAATATTTGATTTTTATTTTGTACGAGGTATTTATGTAATAAGATTTGGGATTACAAATTTTCGTCGATATTTTGAGCATAATAAATATTCGATTTGATCGTATTGTCCCATCATGCATATATGAACAAAAACTAAAGAATGGACGTTCAATTTGTATCAAAGTGTATATAATTCATGATTTATATTTATCTTTTGAGGCCTGCAGAATCACAAGCTAACTATGCGACGTGGTATGGTTTGTTTCGATTGTTTCAGACCGGTCGAAAGCAAACTGGTGAGTGATAAATATATATATATATATATATATATAGATCAGGTTGAATTTACCTTTCTTGAAATGTCAAGAATTAAAGTTGAGTTATTAAATCAATGGATGTTGCAATCTTACATTATTGATGTAATAATTAGGAAACAATGCTTAGAAATGCTCTACAAATCCGATCGATCAATTTTATTCGTATCAATAGTTGGTTATAAGCAAACTATTATTAAGCAAGGATTTTTCCTTCTCGAATTGACGAAGAATGCACATGTATAGAAACTCATGTTGTTAATACATATGATGGCTCGACTAAATTAATTGAAACTATGTAACACTTATGGTATGTCGAGGACAAAAACATCAATTTCTCTTTGTATTTCGTTTGTTAAAAACAAATGTATATTAAGTTTTTTAGCAAAATCAATTTGAAGTAATTGAGGATCTAGCTTCATGTAATTTATTCAACAATTTTAGCTCATTAAGTAGAATATGAAAGTTTTTGTTCTTCGTTTATATGGAACCTTCACATCATTTTAGTTCGATATTAATCTTTAGTGAGGTTGTTGTAAATAAAAGTCATTTTCTAGAGATGAGCTTCCCTCACAAAACTTTATGAGTAGCCAAGAATTCTTTTTCTTTAATTTAATTTCGAAGTTCCATTATTTATATATACATATGTGTCTAAACTTCTTGGTGCGACGTGTTTCTTTGAAGTTTGAATTTGGATTTGGGATTCAAAATCAGTAAATTTTGAATCAAAATAGTTATTGATGTAATGTTTTGAATAAAGTATTGATCTTTTTGTGTAGTATATTAATTGAAAAACTAATCTTGAATTTGATGGTTTTCGGAATTTTATTAATATAAATAGTCCGAGACCTAAATGAGCCCTTAATGAAACAAAACTTAACATGTTGCATTTGCATATGTTAAAATGACTTGCTTCAAAAGATCTTGAAAGTTCTTGCACCAATGATTCTCTTATTTAACAGGTAAGAAGAAATGAATTCCTACCGAGGATCGTTGCTGGCAAAACATCTTGCGCTTATCGCCATAATCATAGCCTTAAACTTCACTCAAGTTTCAGGAACTCTAGCCGTGTCTAAATGTTCGAAAGGTCACTTATTTCAATGTTACCATCAATTTCCTACACAATATTCGCAAACTTGACATTAGTTTGATCCATCATATGTGTGTGTACTTATATTACAGGTCGACTTTTAGCAGAACAATCTAAGGACTTGGGAGATACGGCGAGAGTAGATCCATTAGATGGCTTGAACAAATATCGCGGAGGATATAACATAACAAACAAGCATTACTGGAGTGTAAGTATTCGGTATTGCCACATGCTTTAGCTCAAACTTAGCCTCATACTTATGCAATTAGTATTTTTCTTGCGCAGTCGACTACTTTTACAAGCATATATGGAATAGCCATTGCAGTCGTATGGCTCCTATGTGGTATTTTATATGGACTATTCGCTCTTGTAAGAGCCATTTGTTGTCGAAGAAACAGAAGAGCCGACCATACATCAAATTCTCGTGACACCCGCTGCCCCCCTCTTGTTATTGTGGCTGTTTTGTTTACACTTCTAGCAATGTAAGTGCTAACTTTTTTTTTTTACTTCGTCGCACACGAGCTTCTTTTTTTATTTCTTTCAATGTTTTTAGATTATAATTCTGTTTAGTCGAAAAATGATGCTAGCATGAACCAAATGGTCGTGGTTTTTAGTGTTTAGAAAATTTTGGGGTTTTTATTGTTAGTAATTGGAATTGCTAAAATGATTCTAAAATATTTAATTTATCATTATTTGAAAATGTATTGGAACAAGAAATAATGTATTTTTATTAGAAATGATACGAGTACTTTCAGTAGAGTTATGCAAAAGTGAACAAGTTAGTCTTAGATGAATTCTCACTTCCATTCTAGTATTATGATATAGCAGAATTTACTTATGTAACAATATGAGAAAGATGCAATTTTGGCTCTATACGATATAATCAATTATCATTTTTGTTATATATCTTGTAAAAATTCATTTTTCTGTCCTCTCAGTCACAAAAGAAAACCTATATGTGAATTCAGAAGACAAAAGACAACAACTACGCCAACGACAACAACAATAATACTTATTTCTTGTTAGACACATGAGAAAAAATACAATGGAAGAATCATATATATCTCTATATATAAAGGACAAGACTGATAATTGACTACCGACAGAAATTTGAAATTTTTTTAAAGTCTTGTGTTAATTCTTGGATGTGATGGTGCATTAGTATGGCCATTTCAGAGCAGCTTGTGGAATGGTTTTTGGAGGGAACAAAATGTTCTACGTTAGAGCTGAGAAGATCGTGGGCGTGGTTTCGGATACAGCAAATGAGGCGACAGACTCCATAAGCCTCATAAGTGGAGCATTCAAGCACATCAACAGCAGTTTGCTGCAAGTCGGTTCGAGCAATAAAGCCACTGAGTTCCTTTACTCCACGACGCGCGAGCTTGATGGTCGCTCAGCCGAGTTGCAGCAACAGGCCTCCCACATAACATACTTGATCCGAAAGGGCCTTCACACAGTGTATGCAAAAATTCGACGAAAAACATTATCTACTTTATTCTTACCATGTGTGCTTGTAAGTCTATGTTGATGTGTACATATATGCATTTGATTTGCAGGTATACGATTATTACAGCGACGGTTTCGGTAATTTTGATCTTTGTAGTTGCTTTACTTGGTAAGATTCATGTCTTAACTACACATCTGTGTGTATATATATATAGTAAAAGTAGATATAAAATTCAACAGCTGAACAACATACTGTATGCTGACGGACAACACACGATGTAACCACAGACAGCACATAACATGCGTTAATATAATACAAATACAGCACATGAACTAACAATACATAATATATTCTCACACAACTCATACAACTATTGATTTTAGCACATAACATACTCTCATACAGCACACGTTGTAGTTATGAACAAACAATACATGTCTTTATTACAAAGAGCATGTATTGTATGTAATAAAGGCATGGGCTGTTTCTGTATTTTACATGTGCTGATTTTTCAAATTCAGCGTCGTAACCTCTTTCCAAATATGTTATAATGTATATAATATGTATTGTCTACGCCTTTATTATTTGCTTCCATTTATATGTTTTTATCTTTAGTTTAATATGTTGAGTTCATATATGTGATATGCTGTTTTGATAAGGATCAAATTTTGTTCTAGATTTTGAGAGTTAAACGAACTTTATGTTGCTTATCTAAACTATCGATGTTTTTTTAATTTTAACATACTTTTGATACATAAATAAATTTTTTTATATTTCAGATATTCTTTGTAGTTATACAAAATGTTGAAATTAATTTAGAATTGTAACCAATCCCATATATGTATATATATATAGGACACTAATTCTCTGCTAATCGAGTCAAATCAACATATAATAAAAATAGAAAGCATATGGTTATACTATGTTATAACATAGCATGTGACATTTTATAACAGTATAAAATTATAAAGATGTTATGATATATACAATATATGTTGTTTATCTTTTTTATATATGCTGATTGAGTCAAAGTAACACCATACTAAGTATGTGTCATGTAATTACATTGTATGAAAACTTGTTTGTTTGTCTGCATGGATCTGCGGCCAGCCTTTGGAGTTTTGAAGTTTCGGAGGACGGTTTATTTGTAAGTATATAAGGACTTATTTTCTAAGTATTGATATTGAAATAATTGATGGTTAGAGAAGATAGGAGTTTTCGAAGATTTAGTATAGCTGAATTAGATCGATTTGTTTCCACAGCCTTGTCGTGATTTGCTGGATTTTTGTGACCATCACGTGGTTGTTCTTCGGGGTGTACTTCTTCTTCGACAAGTAGGTTCTTCTTCAAGAGAAATAAGACAAGATGAAAATGATCTCTGCCATTAAATATATATATATGTATGAATGCAGCTTAGCAGGAGACACATGCACAGCGTTGGAAGGGTTCGAAAGGGATCCTTACAACAACAGCCTTAGCGCAGTTCTGCCTTGCGACAAACTGAGATCTGCCCAGTCAGTCCTCATCAATGTCGGCAAAGGCATACACGATTCTGTCAACAAGGTTGTCTCAATGACAACAACTTATAATGCACACCAATAATGTTGGCTGTTGTATGTGATCATATTCATAAAATGAATGCAGGTGAATGAAAACATAACAGCTTCATACGGCGACATTCTGCAGTTCTGCAATCCCTTCGCCTCTGCACCTATGTACGATTACGAGCCATGGAACTGTCCCCCCTCCTCTACCAAAATCGGAGACATCCCACGGGTAACAACCATTATCCAACTATTTACTCTATAATAAAGTGTGTCTATCTGTTTGTTTATTTTTATCTGGCGTATCTGATCATATTCTTTTCCGGTTTAGTCGAAAAATGACCAACCATTCTCCCCTTGGTTTAGAAACTACATAAGACTTGTATGTGTTATGTTGAACTCAACCTAGAATCACACATCCGATAAAATTTAATAGAGAATATGTTTCACGTGCTACTATTGCAACTGAAATAGGATAGTCTTGTTTGGTCAAATATGCAAAATATGTTGTTGAAATATAATTTTCACTACATTTGACATATTGAAGTTCTTTGTAGAGTTTTACAAAATCAAGATAAACTTGTGTAGATTTTTATATTCTTCACTAAATTTAACGGATTGAAGTTTTTTGTAGAGCTTTGCAAAATATAGATAACTTCATGTAATTTTTCATATTTTTCACTAAATTTGAAGTTCACTGTAGAGTTTTACAAAATCCAAATAAATTTTTGTACCACCCTGTCCTATAAGAAGAGTACCATGCATTTTTTTAGTGTTGATATTTGAATGTTAATTATTATATCAATATGTAATAAAAATCAAGAGAAAATGACAAAAATGCATCTATTAGTCTCTTATAATACAAATACAATGATATTTGTGGAGTAAATTATACAAATATAATGATATTTTTAATGTTAAGTACAATGGCGCAAAAGACAAATGGTGCTGGTTTTATGGGATGGAGGTAGTATAATTTTTCATAGTCTTCATTAAATTTGAAGTTCTTTGTAGAGTTTTTTAAAATACAGATAAAATTTGTGTAATTTTTCAATAAAAGATATGGGAGCATGATAGAATTTACCCAAACATAGATATATAGTATGTCGTTTTAACAGTGATTGATCAATCCAACATGAAGGTACTAAGAATGGTAGCTTGTCCGGACGACGAGGTAAAAACTTGCAATGGAGGAATCATGATCCGAGGCACCTACTTCAGGATGGTGCAAGCATACTCAGTTGCAATACAAAGGCTGCTCGACGTATACCCTGAGATGGAAAACATAATCGAATGCCGGCTAATCAAAGATGCCTTCTCCAAGATCCTCGACAATCATTGCAAGCCCTTGAAAAAATCACTACATATGATATGGGGATCGTTTGTAGCTCTCTCGATTGTGCTCATGGTTTTGCTTATCATTTGGATCGCGGCAGCTCATCGCCATCAAGATCAGACCAGCACTCGTCCGCGGGCTCTTTGAATTGCCTCGCTGTAATTTATACATGTGTATATACATGACTCAACGTTATATACATACATAGTTGATGCAAGAAATCAAAAGCAAGCATGAACTACGGGTGTGTATGATTTTGATTGAATTACGACATTAAAGTTCATGTAATATATTACGTCTCTCGAACATTGAACAACCCGAAGGAACACACAGAAATTTTTTTTGGTGATACATACCTTTCTATATATTTCTTTATAGAATGATATCTTGAGAACTTCTGCAAAATTTGGCGCTCTTTACTTATATTTTGAACACTGTTTTCACATCAATCATCAAGATTTTTTCCCCTCAACAATAGATCACATTCATTAATAGCTATTTTAATTAAAAAATTTGCATTAAAATGTTATACTTTATATTTTAAACATCATATATGATATCTATTTACATTATATTCAATATTTATTTTTCATTCAAAATTTAGTTGTCTAAACCTACTTTAAAATGTTAGTAGGAGAGTATGAGAGACTTCATTTGATCAATTATGGTACTTCCGACTCGTTCAAACAAATAAAGAGAAGCAAATAATAGAGCATTAAATGTGGAGTGAATTTAGGGTAAATTATATAATACTCACTTGTATTTTTAGTAAAAATGACACAAAATTGTTATCTGTTTTTTATAAAAATTATAAAAAAATAAATGATTAATCATTTATTTATTTATTTTATTCAAAAAAAGTTATTTAGATATTTTACGTTTTTTATTTGTATAAAACTTGCGTAGTAGGTATTTATTTAGAACCAAACATCACTTTTGAACAATGAAGGTGTTTCATGCAAACTTTATATTAGCATAAGTGGATTTCACGCAATAAATAAAATACAGGATATTCTGTATATTTTTACTAAAACACAAGAAGTGTTGTATTATTTATCCGGTGAATTTATAACAATACCTACTCTACTTTCCTTAAAAGACTGATGCTTCTTGTCTAGTGTAACTTTTCTTGCTTGCATAATTTGCAAACTATTACATTCGACCAGGGTAACAGTATAGATGTTCCATGATCAACATGAAGAATGAAAATTACAACACACACATACATGAGAATATGCAAATACAAGTAGATTATATATATATATATATATATGAAGGTGAGCTCAAATAATAGAGTCTAACAAGTTACCAATCATGGGAAGAAGCAAACTTGTATGTGGTTCCCATATTGAATCTGATCCTTTTGGATTCTCCTCAAAGACTCCACAGCAGAAGGACTGATCTCTTTTCTCACATTGATCACTTGCAATGTCAGAATGTCTCCAATGCCTAAAGGGACTTGCTAAAGCTGAGGACATTTCCAAATATTCAGACATTCTAGTCTTGGATAATGTCTCTCATCACCGCTCCACTTCTTTAAATTCAAGTCATACAGCACCAGCAGCCGCAGCCGGTCGAATCCCCCCTCCCTCGGCTCCCACACCGCGCTCTCGAAGAGGGTCTTGCGCAATCTCAGAATTTCAAGATTCGGAAAACCTCCAATTTTGTCCATAAAATCTGAAGGAATTATACATCGTTTTAGTGTCAACTTCTTGAGCGAAGGAGGGAAAATGAGGATAGAAAGGAAAGAACGAGACATGGTGACAAAATCGAACGAGCATTTAAGGTTGTGTTCTTTTGTGGGTTTTACTACAAATTTTTATTATTCAAATTCTTTTTTTCCTCTAAAAATATCACATCAAATAATTACTTTTATTTTTTTATATTATACTACAAATTTATTTTACATTCAAAAACATCACATCAAACAACTATTCAAATTCAATTTTTTACTATTCAAAAATCTAAACCCAAAAACTAAAACCCACAAACAAACACACTGTTTACTTGTTAGATTTGTTTTCCGTTTTACTATTCCAACTTTTTTTCCCCCTAAAAACATCAAATCAAACACCTATTTTTTATTTATTATATTACACTAAAATTAAATTTTACATTCAAAACATTACATCAATACATATTTATATCACATCAAACAACTATTTCAATTCAAAATTTTACTATTCAAAACCAAAACCAAAAACTAAAATCTCACAAGTAATGGTATATTTAATTGTGAGATTTTGATTTTGAGTTTTAATTTTGAATAGTAAAATTTATATCACATCAAACAACTAATTCAATTCAAAATTTTACTATTCAAAACCAAAATCTCACAAGTAATGGTATGTTTATTTGTGAGATTTTGATTTTGAGTTTTAATTTTGAATAGTAAAATTTTGAATTGAAATAGTTGTTTGATATAATATAAATATATATTGATGTGATGTTTTGAATATAAGATTAAATTTTAGTGAAATATAATAAATAAAAAATAAGTGTTTGATTTGATATTTTTGGAGAAAAAAAATATTAAAATAGTAAAATTATAATCAAAGTTTCGCAAGTAAACACACCCTAAATAGTGTTTCGAGCTTGCTCAAATAGCTTAGATCTATGGTAGAAGACATTGTAATGTTTGTATCCTTACTAATGCCCAACTTCTTTAGGTTTGGAAATACTTTAAGAGCCTTTGGGAAGGTGTCATCAATGGCTACAGAGGAGAGTGTTTGACGATCTTCTAGAAGAACCGCTCCATCTTCTTCTTCGTCTTCGTCGTAAGGAATGTCCAAATATGGACACATATCGACAAACTTGATATGTCTTAACCGTGGCATGCATCGCGAATAGGGTCTTTGTACTACACTTATTCATGATCATCTTGCCACTTTTCGACAATGTCCAAGAAAGTACTTTGTTTCTAACTGATCTCTTGACAATTAAAGTTTGTAGATTATGAAAAGTTGCCCCTACATAGCTTAAAATTGAATTGATATCCGCAGCTAGGTACCTCAAGTTCACGAGCTTCTCGGCTTCCTTAGATATAGCCATTGCTTCCGCGCTTAAAACTCTAAGCACCGGAAATTCCGAAAAATCTAAAGTAGTTACATAAGCCCTCCATTTAGGAAACCATATAAACCATTCTCAAGTCTTTTGAATTCGCAATTAGCTCAAGATCATTGCGAGTATGAACATTTAGGCGACGACGTATACCTTGTTCTTGATTGTAAGATCTTCGGTTGCGCTTGTCGAATTAAAAAAGTAATTCTCTTCGTGCGCTTTTCTAATGCACAAGTCCCTCAACATATCGTGCACCTTATAGCTTTTCGCGGATCCTTTAAATTCTTCGCTATAACTAACAAAAGATTTCTATCGACAAGTTCATCTAAGTAAAATTGCGCCGCCTCTTCCAATCTTCTGGAAATGCACTCATATAAAGAAAACACGGTCTTAAATGATACGGAAGATTATTATAACTCAATAATAGAATGCTCGAGAAATGCTCGTGTTCATCCGCGACAACTAAGCTTACTTCATCCGCAATATTTTCCCAAGATTTTTCGAATCTATTTAACTGAGCAAGAAGTCCTCCGACGACATGAATTGCAAGAGGCAGCCCCGAACAATTCTTCGCAATCCTTTTCCCAACATTTTCGAGTTCGGATGGGCAAGTTTCTTCGCCAAAAACCTTTCTTCAAAGAAGGTTCCAACTTTGAAGATCGTCGAGCAAATTCATGTTATGATGCAATCTTTTCGAAGTTACATAATTGGCTAAACCCGATTCCCTAGTCGTCGGGAAAGCACTTCTTTAACTCATCCCAAGCTTTTCCACATATCATCCAACACAGTTAGGTATCGTCGACCATACAACGTTTGATATAATCGCAAGACATGTAAATCGATCAAGTTCTTCGTTGCGAATTTCATCGGTTAATTAGGCATCCAATGGCACATTGCAAAAGATCTAATAAAATGTTCTTGAGATCATAGTCTTGAGATACTGTCGTCCAGCCACGTTTGTCGAAGTGAGAAACAATTAAGGGATCGTCGTACAAATTCCGAGCAAGAGTAGTCTTACCAATGCCACCCATGCCTACGATCGAAATGATCTCAAGTTTCGAAAAATGTCCGTTGGTGTCACTGTTTCTCACAGGAAGTAAATAGTAAGATAGTGTATAAACTCAGTATGGGTGCCAAAATTTAACACGAAAACACTACTACCCAAGAACTTCCAGCTTTAAATTTTATTAGTATTTATTATTTTTTGAAATCGTGTCAATTTGGACATTCAATTTTTTATCATGATAGATTTTTGGATTATGACATGATAGTTACAACTCACTCACAATTCTAAATAATAATTACTTTTAATAAAATATTATTTTTCCTATTTACTATAAAATATTCATAGGTGTGTTTGTTTGGGGGATTGGATTTTAAATTCACTGTTCATTCATTTTTTTCCCAAAAAAAATATTAAATCAAATACCTATTTTTTATTTTTTATATTATACTAAAAATCAATTTAAATTCAAAATATTACATCAATACCTATTTATATCACATCATACAACTATTCGAATTCAAAACTTTTACTATTCAAATCCTACCTCAAAATCCAAATCCCCAAACAAACACACCCTAAGTTCAATTTTTATAAAAATAATAAAATGGGTAATGATATATATATATATATATATATACATGAAAGTTGAAACCCGTGACTTGCCACGTTTCTATTTGGACGATATTTTCATGCTATTCACTTTGGAGATTTATGTAAATTACTACTAACTTTTGCAAGGGGCCTTTATATTTTAAATAGATTTAATATTATAATATATATATAAATATTTTTTTCATTTCCTTTACATTATTATAAATGATTTTATATTAATAATTAATAAATATTTCTAGTTTTTTTTATTTTTTATTATGTAAAAATTCTATTTTTTATAAAATGATATATATATTATATTTATATTTATATACTAGTATTTTAAAATTAAATTTATTTTATTATTATTTCGAATGTCAAATCAATATTTTATTTCTATATTATCAATTATATTATTAATGATATATAATATTTATAAGAATAACTTCAAAAAAAAAAAAAAACGTTAAAACTCTTCAAAGCAAAATAATTTCCAATACTCCCATCTAAACTGATGTAATTAAAAAATAAATAAATAAATTATATTTTCTTATGCTTAATTTTTTTATTATTATTATTATTATTTAAAAATTACATTGTATAAAATATTATTTAAACCTATTCCCTTTCGTTTATTGCAATGTATTTCTCTTACAGTTTTCCATGTCAGCTAAACATAATTATAAGTTTCAAAAGTCATCCTTAATTTTTTTTTGTAGAGATGGCCTGCACTGTCCAAATTATCTGCCAAATGTCATCTTAGAAGAATCCATCCTAACCTCACATCCTCCAAAATTAAATATTCAGCATCCATATTTTAAGCTAAAAATATTCTATCCAGCCGGCCAAACCACCCTTCAATTTATTTTATATGTTTGATCTTTTAAGGATCATGAATTCATTAACATACCCCTTTCTTTGTCCAAGAGTATCCATCTGTTGGCTCAAATCTTACAATAATTCTAAGTGTTCGAAGAAGCAAAAAAGATCGATCAATTATGTCGAGAAGATCAAGAGAATCTGGAGAAGGCTTCCATGCAACAAGGCGTGGCTCGAATTACTTGAAGGACAATGAGGTTGAGGAGCTTTCATTTTTCCGGGACCTTCAAAGGCGCGAGAAGGATCATGTCGCGAACCTTCTTCAGCCTGTCTCCGAAGAATTTGAACCAAATGGTGAGATAATTCGTAGTATAATTAAGCTGCATCACTGCAAAAAAAAAGTTGAAATTTAGTTAAAAATAATAATAATAATAATAAAATTGTAGCAATATGTATCAATTCATAGCAAAAATGTTTTTGCGACGAAATGAGTTTTGTCGCCTATACCGCCTTAGTAAAGATCTTTGGCGATAAATATGATTTAAGTAACAAAAATTAAATTTTTTTGCAATGAAAGTTAAGAAAAGTGATATAGCAACAAAATATGTATGATTTTTTTTAGCCAAATAGTTTTAGTTATGGAAAATAATTTCGTAGCTAAAACTTTTTTGCTATAAAACAATAATTTTCTAGCAAACAAAATTTAGTGACGAAAATTCATTTTGTAGTAGATAATTTATTCTTAGCGATGAAATTAATTTTTGTTGTTAAATGACACGTTTTAATTACAAAACTATTTCGTAGTTAAAAATGTTGTAGCTAATTAATTATTTATTGGTAGTGCATGGAAATAATTTAACACACATTTTAACTGTCGGGGCGCATTGTGATTAGCCGATGTCGAGTATTTCTAGTGCAGGAAATTATGCATTGGGTAGGACAGAAGGGGGCAAGAATGACTACAACTGGTAATGGATATTACAAAGTTTTTATTTGTTTTTATTAGATTTTTCTTACCTAAAATTTGTCTGAGGAGCTTTGGCTGTTGGGATATTAATTATTTGAAGGCTGAAAACGCCGCCGGCGACTCCACTATTCCCGTCTCTTGAGATGGAAACCACCGGTCGGGAGCTTGTTGTTCAACGGGAGATACCAATCGTCAACCAATCTCTTTCGAGGGTACTAATATCTCTTACATAGAATCGATTATTCGTTCTAGTTAAAATTTGTTTGTTTATTTACTTAACGAGAGAATTCGCAACTGTTATTTTTTTTAAATGTATATTGGGTAAATTCTTGGATCGAATTGAATAATCGGGCTCGTCTACTACAATTTTGAAATTAATTAAGAAGAGTGCATATCCTTTAGTGTTTAAATATATGATATTAAAATGGGATCCAACTTGCATAATTTGAGGGCAAGATTGGCGAGGGATTGAAGGTAAATATATATTGTTTTAAGGGTAATTAAAATATGAAGATATTAACATATTCTTATTTGAAAAACTTGCGTATATTTATGTGTGTGCTATAGAAATGTTGAATGTAAAGGATGCTACACACTTATAAAGAAAACATTAATTAAATAAAAAATATTTAGTTTTTGGGTAATTTATATACTACTTTATATTTTAGTAAAAATATACAAAACACTCTATTTTATTTATTGCTTAAACCCCTTGTCTTAATCTAAAGTTTGCAACGAAACAGCCTCTGGTCCAAAACTACTATTTGGTTCTAAATAAAGACGCAAGTTTTATACAAATAAAAAATGTAAAATATTTTAAATAATTTTTTTGAATAAAATAAATAAATAAATAATTGATCAATCATTTATTTTTTTAGTTTTTTTTAAAATCAAATAACAATTTGTTTTCAAAAACTATAAAATGAAAGATTAATAAATTATTTATTTATTTATTTTATTAAAAAAATTATTTAAGATATTTTGCATTTGTATTAAACTCGCATAATTTAGATCTTTATTTAAAATCAAATATCAGTTTTGGACAAAAATGGTATTTCGTGCAAAATTTATACTAACACAATGGGGTTCACGCAATAAATAAAACAAATGATATTTTATGCATTTTTACTGAAACACAAAGCGGTATTATATTTAAAGGGGTATTATATTTAAAGGGTATTATATAATTTACCTTTTTTTTTTATACTACTATTGATATATTTTCTCATATATAACATCAAAATCACTTCTGAAAAATACAAAAGGAACACACTCATTGACTTTTAGATTTAAGCAACTCATTTATTCTAGTTTAGTAAGAATTTTGTAAGTTCAGATTTATTTTGTAAAACCTTATTGAACAAAGCAATAGAAGTTTGGTAATCGAGAGAGGTGTATTTTCTATTCTAACTTTTTACTCTCTTAAAGCTAAGTATGCTCATCATCATCTTACCTTAGGATTGTTTGTCATAAGTTTGCAGGCAATCCAGAAGGCACAAAAAGAGCCGCGCCGCTGTCGTCGTCGTTGTCATCCTCAGCCAATCTTAGGCCAAATGCTCCCCTACATAACACCACAACATCAGACAAAACAAACATCAAAACCAACAAAACCAAACCCTATTTTCTACCCAATCATAACCCCATGGAAACCAAGCCCAAAGCAAGAGGAGTCTCACCAGCTTCTACCAGGCCTACAATCCCTTCCGGACATGGATTTTCCGACGAGAAGCCGCCTAATTTAAGGACAACCTCGATCAGACCAATCTCAGCCACACGTGGAAGGCCGTCAAATCTAAATCTCAATCTAAATCAGAATCCGAATCCTCCATCCCTTCAGGGAAAGGGCACAGATTCGAAGACCAGGAGACAATCTTGCTCCCCGAGCATTACAAGAGGCCGGAAAATGGACTCCGGTGAGAATTCCGGCAAGCAGCAAATTAGTGGAAGTAATGGTAGCAACTGCAGCAGGCCATTGGGAAACCCTGGCCAGGTTCTTGGAAGTCGAATGGTGGAGAGGTTTATGAAGGAAAGGCAATCGAAAATCAAGATGACTGCTTCCATGAATGAAAATTCGACGAGCAAGATTAAGCTGAACAGCTCGTTGAATGAGAATTCTGGAATCGGGAGGAGGCTGATGTCGAAGAACTCGGCCGACACAGTTATCATCAAAAGCATGGAGAATCAACGCGATTCGAGTACTGCTCGAATGCATCGATTGAAAAGGGGAATTTAAGGGACATGGAAGAATTTATAACACTTCTTTAATCATCGATCGATTGATTGAGTTCTTTAAGTGTTTAATGAATTGGTGGTTTTTTTGTGAAAGGTGTGAACTTGAGTATAAATGTGGATCTTCTGAGCCTGATCGATTCCTAATATATATGGGATCAAATTGATACATTTCTTTGTTAATTCGAAGTTGTTCATTAAATAAAAAAGATAATCTTCTGTACATAATCTAGGGAAAGTTGCAAATTTTATTTTGAGGTGGTGCTAGTGTTGAGGCCTAATGCATATATGTTAGATAAAATAGTTTGTAGTTGTGGTTTTAAATTGTTTTGAAATGTAGCATTGATTTGATTTTTTTTTTCATTTAAATAGTATTTTGATGTGATATTTTGTAAGATATTTTAGTGAAAAATATACATTTATTTTTTAGTAGATTAAGAAATAATAATATTTTATTAATTAATATAAATATATATGATATTTTTGTCTTTTAAAATATAATAAAATGAATATTTTTGTAAAGATGAATGACCACGTGTCTCTGATAAATCATTTTTAGATTTTTATTTTTTAGGATATTAAAAGTATTGCATCTTTTTTGGTTAAAAAAATCACATTAAACATGTATAAACATTATATCAAAAAAATAGTTCAAATTCAGTTTTTAATATTTACAAAAACGTGATAAGCATCTCCAAAGAACATCTAAACAAGCCCATTATTATATTTAAGCAATTAAAAAGTAGAGTTCGACAACAATTCACTTGGTTAAAAATACGGTTGATTCAGATCAAAAATAATATAGTCGATAATATAGGGAAAAAAAAGGATAAAAAAGAAGCTTATCATAAGCGAACTAAGATTTTCTCAAATGACAAAAGGTGTCACAGTGATATATAATTAATTATACATGTGTGAGTTTCATCGATAAAAAAAATATATATATATTTATTTTCTTTAACAAATAGATAAGCTAATAATATATATGCCCACACAATTACGTCACACTCAATAAGTAGAGTACATTCGACATAAAAAGTTTTATATATAGTCGGAAGTCGAACATATAAATAGTAGAAACTATTATCTTAAAAAAAAAAACATAGTATTATGTCGAAAAGTTAAACTCAACAAATGTCAAGCAGCAAGCAATGCTTCATATCATAATTATTTCAAAGTCTAAAGTTTGATCAAGGAGTGCTCATTATAACAATGGTTATTAATTTAAAGAGATGAATTCAATGAATATCCATGTGGCGACAAGCCTCGTATCCGAATTTTTCGCATAAATAAGTTTGTTTAAATCAAGCAAGTTGTATTGATTAATTGATCCGATCCACGTGCAAATAGCAATGGCGGAAAGCTTGTGTTTCCTTTAAAACATTACTTAAAACTACACACACTATAATGATTATGCACATGATCTTGCAATTATATCGCAATAAATAAGATTGAAGCGTGTAATGTAAAAAGAATAAATTGATCTGATCATGGGTTCAAAGCCCTGATGTTTTCGAGTCTTTCATGTCACATAGCAATGGCGGAAAGCTTGTGTTTCCTTTAAAACATAACTTAAAACTACACACACTGAAATGATTATGCACATGATTTTGCAATTATATCGCAATAAATAAGGGGAAAAAAAAGCATGTAATGTAAAAAGAAGAAATAGAACTGATCATGGGTTCAAATCCCTGATGTTTTCAAATTTTATATGTCACGTATGGTTCGTTTAGTGTGATTTATTTTATTGGTGGCTACGAATTCTCACGTTATCTTACTTATTGTGCTGACTTAATCAAATATGAATAATATAGATGCAATTTGTAAGTTACACAATCATTGAGTTTCAAAGCATTCATATATAAATGTGATACCAAATAATTCCATGATATATTTCATAGAATTGCAACAATAGATATGTAAATATATTATAACATGTGATATAAGATAATTATCAATTTTCTTGAGGCTTTTATGGTTGAGGATTATTAGGAGGATGAACAAATTGCATCTCCACCTCTCTACGATGGAAGCTTCGACGACAACCACAAGCCGCACAAATTAGTGCATCGGCTGTACCTTCTGGGCCCGACGCCATAAATTCATTGCAACCGTCTATGGCAAATCCACCTAAGTGGGCTGCTTGATTTCTTCGACATTCCATATATCGGATTGTCGTGACTACGGGTACACTGGAGGTTTCGGAAAAATCTATATTCAACATCACTATTGTTACTATGTTTGATTACTTATCAATTTTGTAAGCAAATGTTTCATATATTTATATATGAACTAGGTTATTAATTTGCCATATATATACTTAAAAGATATACGAGTGTAACTCTTGATTTGTGTAAAATGCCTTTGCATTTATTGATATGATTGTAAAATATCATGACTAGATTTTTATGGATAGTTTAAATTTAATTAAAAAGATAAAGAGATAATTGAAGAGGATCATAGCAAGGGTTTTATGACCCAATCCTTTTAGAAGCAAAATAAGGAATTCTTTTAATGTAGATATTTTTGGTGAAATGTATTTAATGAAGATATAATATAAATAAGAAATGGGTAGGAATTTTAATAATTACTTATTTCAATATTATGTTTAATCATGATATTATGACATATAATATATTATTTATATTAATAGAATACAAATGCAGCACATAAATTGATATGATCTCAAGCACATAAATTGATATGATCTCTCACACAGTTAATTTTATCACACAGAATGTATTGTGTGAAATAAAGACATATGGTAACCCCTCCCTTAATTTAATATATCATATTTATCTTCATATTTGTCTTCACATTGAAAATATTAGAAACTATCAATAAATTATTTATGAAAACGAATGAACAGAATGACTGTCTCACCTAAAGACTAAGTTGTTACGAAAACGAATTATTAATTTATTTATCTGCAAACGAAAATCCCAACGAATATATATACATATATATAATATGCATTCTCAATAAACAAACATATAAATCTCGACACAGGAGTCAATAATTACAATGTATTAAACAGTGTGTGTATATATATATATATATAATGTAGCTCCTTCACCAATGTTCTATCAAATCTTATTTAGAAAAACTCAAGCTACAAAAAAATATATTTTTTAAAATAAATAAATAAAGAGAGTCCATTACCATTTACCATGGATGACGACGATAATAATAATAAAGTGTAAGTAGCAACATACAGATGTAGATAAATTAAAGCAACGCACCATATTTTAACTTTGAAGGAAATCCATCCATCCCTCTTCATCTTTGATCACTCACTCGCATTCCATCACCAGGTTAGGTTCGGTTAGGTTGACATGTATGTCTGTCTTAACAAATCGAGCTAGCTAGGTTGACTGAATCGACAGATCCTGCAGCTGCAGCGGATCCACCTTTGAGGGGGCACGCGTGAGAGCACACTGTGCCGTGGTCGTCTTTGGGAAAGCGATTACATCCCTTATTGAATTCGCCCCTGCCAATAGCATCACCAGTCTATCCAACCCATATGCTATCCCTCCTGCATCGCATTATCAATAAACAATATATATATATATATATTTGATTCATATATTAACTCAGTAATCAATGTAGCTATATATTTAATTCATTCATTCTCTCAAATTATTAATAAACTCCATTTTACATAGGTGAGGTGAAATGTCATATTTGATGGCACGGCATGGCATCGCTGCTGAGACTCAAGACACAATCCGACTGGACGTATAATATATATAAGCAGCAGTGCTTGAAGAGATAGAGATATTACCATGTGGGGGAGCACCCATGTCCAGAGCCTCCAAAAGATAACCAAACTTAGCTTCGGCCTGCACAATCCATACACATATATATAATGAGGAGACTATTCAACTGGAATTTGATGAAGCATGCGATCTGTGAAAAATCCGAAACAGAAATCTTTTCATTTTCCATGAAAAAACTAATCCCAAGCAGCAAATAAAGTCTCACAAATCAGCACAAAATTGTTAAAAACAACACATGAAATTGAAAAGAAAGCATGAGCATAAAAAACTTGACAAAGAACATAAAAAATATAGTTCCAAAAATATCCTTCTGTTATCCCAAGCATTGGATCGAACAGTTGATATAAAGTAAGTACTGCGTTGATGATGCACCTTAACCACCACCGCAAAACATATTGTTTAAGAATTTCCAAACAGCGCCCAGCGATATAAATAGATTATGACTAACAATGTGCACTGCTATTCCAAGAGAGTGAAATTAGAAAGGCAATCTTCTCTTATATGCTTCTGATAATGACAATGAATCAGCTAACCTGTTCAGGGGAAATGTTGACTATTTCCAAAACCTTTTCTTGAACCTCTCGCTTGTATATTCTCAAGCTTCCTCCACCGATCTACCAATAGAAAGTAATCATGTTAATCAAGTATCACTTTGACTCTCTTAACTGCAAGTACTTCAGTGAAATTAGAAGTCTGTACCTCGACTCCATTGTAAACCATGTCATATGCTAAGGCACGGGCAGAAGCAAGGTCATCCTTATCCTCAGGATTGGGAGCCGTGAAAGGATGATGCAAAGCCTGCAAGTAGTAATATCATCTTAAAAATTGTATCACTTATCACCATCACAAAATCTAACTATAACACAAATGGCACAGATAATTCTAGCTCTGATCTCACGAAAAGTTTAAGTGAAAATTGTTTAAACTGTTCAGAAGATGAACAAGGTAAATTTTGAAGAAATGAGATGCCACAAAGATCACACACATACCTCAAGCCTTCCTTCAGATTCATTCCATTCAAACATTGGAAAATCAGTGACCCAAAGGATGGAGTGCCCTGACTAAAATCACAGTTAAGAATCATAGTGATCAGACAAGATATTAACTGACAACTTAAGTTCTGTTGTATCAGTTTCAATACATCAATTTTCGGCCAACTACTTACAGGATCAATCAAGCCCAAATCATGTGCAACATACTGCCGCAGCCGGTCTAAGGTTTTACTAACAGAGGCATGATTACCTACTGCAAACAGTATGAGATCACCCGAACTAGCAGACAGTTGTTTCTTTAAATGGTCTTGGTCAGCAGCATCCAAACTGGAAGCTAGAGCAGGAATCCCTTCAAGGCTGCCTGTAAAAGTAAATATTTACACGCCAATAGTACACCAATTGACAATGCAAATTATAGAAAATTTATTACCATCTTCTGAGACCTTTAAGAAAGGCAAGCCCTTTGCTCCAGATTTAATTGCTTCGTTGTAAATGTCACCCTTTTTAAGAGCACTATTGGAATAGTTTTTGGCTCCGCTGGGAACACATATTGCTTTAATAATGTTGCCATTAGACAAGGCATCAGAAAAAACCTTGAACGAAGAATTCGTGAAAACATCGGACACCTGCACAGAAGCAAACAATAAAATTACTGCAGACCATATGATTGCATTTCATTTCAAAAGATACATTTCGGATCATTTTTATCTTGCTCTCTCTTATCTAAATCATAAGACGTCCCCTCAAGGAAAGTACAATAGTGAGCAAATTCAGATCATTAATCGATGATAAGGGAGTAGGGAAAAAAAAGCAGCAGTCATATCCCAGAGAGATTACATCTTTCAATTCGAGACCAAAGCGTGTATCTGGTCTGTCTGTCCCATATCGTCCCATAGCTTCAGTATATGTGAGCCTTGGAAAAGGAAGTGGGAGTTCGACTCCTTTGATTTCTAGGAAAACCTGAAAAAGTATTTTACAATTAAGATGCCCATCTTGAAAGTTCTATGGGAATCTGACCATTAGAAATTTTAGTATCATTAGGGAATGGAGAAAGGTTTATTGTTTCAATGCAAGTAATTTCTGAAACAGTAGGGAATGGTTCAAGAATGAAGAAACTGATGTACAGAATAATAAATCATTGAGCATATGTTAAGCAATTTCTCTAACTACATCAGAACAAAAAAAGTTATGGTCTTTATGTAAAAACTGGAAGCTCCAGAGATCCACATGAAAGCTCTCCCAAAAGTTGTGCCAGATTAGAAGTTTCATGAGTTATGACCTACAATGCAGCATGCCGATTGCTTGAAATTTTTTAAACAAAAAAGAAGGTGAAATTTATTTCTATAAAAAGTAAAACTATTTATTCTGGGGTTATAGAGTAGGAAAGTGAAAAGAAAGCAGAAGCAAATGAAGGGACATTCAAAGTGAAGTCAGCAGACACTAAAATAGAAAAATCAAACCGGATAAGAGGGAAAGGAGTAAAAAACAGATCAGCAGAAAAATGTTAGTTGAGAACCTTGTATTTGATCATCCTACAATATGTAGATGTACCAGTAAAATACAAAGGTAGAGAATTGAGGATCAATAGCACTAACTTTTCTAATCAAATCTTCATTGAGCTTTAGTATGTCCTCCAGAGGAGTGAATGCCATTTCCATGTCCAGCTGGGTAAATTCAGGTTGCCTGTCGGCTCTTAGATCTTCATCTCTAAAACACCTGCCAAAAAAAACCCATAACATGCCCAGTCATCTGACAATAATTACAACTGATTGAAATCACTACACTAGAAGCATTCCAGGGCTGCTTAAGAGGCATGTGCAGTACATCAAGAGTGATTTACACCAAGAAAGATGAAAATGAAGCAAAAGAGGTAGTACCTTGCTATTTGATAGTATTTATCAAAGCCAGAGACCATTAGCATCTGCTTGAAGAGTTGTGGGCTTTGTGGCAAGGCATAAAATGATCCAGGCTTCATAGAATAACCAAGCATCGTATAAAACAAAGGAAGAAATTGCAATTACAAGAAATCAGTTAGCATTTACAACATATTTTGGTCCTTAATTTATTTAGATGTGATGTGATATGATATGATCTGATATGCTTATCATATATTTAACTTTCCTATTCCTAGAGGCTAGAATATGAACTATTAGAATGGGTCATATGTATTCTCCATAAGTATTCGTCGTGATATATGAAAATATATGCTTATTAAACCAATCTCTAAATTGGTATCAGAGCTAAAGAAAATAATTTTGACCAATACATCTCCTTTGGCCAAAAACCTAGCTGCCGCTTGCTCTCTCTTCCCCTTACATTTCCTCAATCCTTGTTTGTTACAATATCTGAGAAGGCTGAGATCAGTATTCCTGATAGCAAGAAGCAATCCATGGTGATTGTTTACAATATTTCTCTTCCAACTGTCCAGTTGGATTGAGCAAATTACTGTGTGTTTGGTCTCAAATTATGGAGATGAATATTGCTGGCAGAAGGTTGAAAGGATATATTGCAGGAATACAAGTCGCTGCTGCAAAAGACGACGCAATATATGATGAATGGAAGGCTGAAGATGAGCTAGTCAAATATTGGCTCACTCAGCTCCATGACTAGTAAGTTGATGGCACATTTTGTGCAAGGTGGAACAGCTAGAGTGGTTTGGGATGGATGCGGTCAAGTGGAGTTATCTTGATGTCTCGAACTCTTCTCAAGCTAATGAATTGCTAAAGTGGTCATTCCACTCACAGCAAGGAGATCATCCTCAATCAGAATACTAAGGGTTTAACACCATATTCTCGGACCTTAACTTCGAAAGGCCCAATGATATGGAGTGCCAAATGACATCGAGAAGGTAAGGAAACGATAGCTGAGAATCGAATCTATATATTCCTTGTTGGTCTTGACTGATCCTGGCTCAAGTGAGGGCTCAAGTCATGGCTAAGTCTAGAGAAAGCTATTCAATGGTCTGTTGTGAGGGCATTGATCATGCTTGCTTGACGTACTTAAAAGTATGAATATTTATTAAATAAAGCTAGCAACGAACAATGGGATATCTTTAATCCCAACCACCTCGTTGATTCATAAAACCCTAGATGGTCCTTAGGCTTCTACTCAATATCCTAAATTCCTCCAACAAAGATATTAGCGGTTTGTATGAAAATTGAGATATCACACCCTAGATCTAACGTATCATATTCAGGCAGAGTTGTGAGCCCATTCATGCACAATCATAATGACCGACACATGACTGTTGTGAATATTCTTGGCTTATCTTTAGGCATCTCCAGGCAAAGGAATAATGTTCTCTAAATATGTTCATCTAGGTTTAGATGGTAATACAAATTATGGTTTTTCAAGATCCAAGTTGCACAAAAAGTCCACTTCAAGCTATATGTCATATGTTGGCTTATGTTAACCCATCTCCGAGCAAAGGAGTAATGTTCTTTAGACATGTTCATGTAGATATAATTGGTAATACATATTCAGGTTTTTCGGGATCCAAGTTAGACAAAAAGTACACTTCAAGCTATGTATCATTTTTTGGGGACAATTTGGTGACTTGTAGAATCAAGAAACAAATATCATGTCATTGTCTAATGTCGAGGCTGGGTATTGTGCCCTTCATTATGAGCTTAAGGTGCATACTTAGTTCAAAATCCTTCTGGGTGAACTAGGTTTTGGTTCAAAAAAAACTGAGTCTATGACACTACCACATGATAACGCAGCAGTTATTGAGATTGTGTAATTCCTATAAAGCATTATCAAACTAACCATTTTGAACTCAATAGAACCTACATTAAAGATGATCTTGATTCTAGCAAGACAGAGATTCCATACATCAAGGTTGACTAGTAACTTTTTTTTTACCCTGCTTTTTACAATTCAATATCCTAACTTCCTCCAAAAACATATCCTAACATCTTTCATCCAAAACATCACAACCGCTACTTCACTTCAAAAAAAATATATAAAAATAATAAAAAAAGAAAATAACACAGTCACACACAAGTAAACAACCACAAGAATACAAATCAACTAGCTGGCGTAATGGCACCTGGAGTTTCTAGGGGGGGTGTTCCATATGGCATTGTCCAAGTAGGGCGGGGGTGTAATATCTATGCGCAACTTGAGGGGAGAGTTAGCATATATAATATTTTCCTTATTTTATTTAGATTTGATGTGATATGATATGATTTAATATAACTACCATATAAGGTTCAATTCATAGAAGAGATCATATGTATTATAAATATTCACCTTTTCAGCCAATATCTATTCAATCATATAAACATAATGACATGCAAAGAAAAAAAATATAGGTTTGTTTACTTGAGGTTTTTTTGTTTTTGTTTTTGTTTTGTTTTTTTTTATGTTTTAAAGTGAAATAATGGTGCAATGTGATGTTGAAGAGAATTTTGAGAGATTGAATAGTAAAAACTTGGGAAAAACTCGAGTAAACAAACCCTAAGTCTATTGCAATAACAAAAAAATAAGAACAAAACACCAATGAACAATACTTTTCATCAGCTCCTTGATACTAATTTGAGCTCTTTGTGGTTAATAGAGTCTATGGTCGCCAATATTGAAACTATGCTGCCCATGGCAATCAAAACATCTTTAAAATTTCCTTTCTAATTAAATTAAGGTGAGAATAAGCATGAGAACATAGATGAAGTGAAAGTTCAAAATTGCATCAACATACCTGAATCCTTGATGGCACTAAATAATCCCTTGCACCTTCAGGTGTAGACCTAGATAGAATCGGAGTCTCAATCTATCTTAAAACCATTAAAAAAGTCAGGATCAACATAAAAATTATTAAAAATACATAAAATGTTTCAGTACTTTCTCTTTGATAAATATCACTATTGCAGCATTTATCATAATATTAGATTATTAGAAAATATTGAAAATCTTATACCTCCACAAAACCATGCGTGTCTTCAAGATATCTTCGAATGAGTTTCATCACTCTATGGCGCAACATAATATTGGAGGTCATAAGAGGACGCCGCAAGTCAAGACATCGATACCTGACATGTAGGTGACATTTTAGTTAGCAAGCTTAATATAACTGTCAGTACTCAGCATAGAATTCTTGAATTCTTAGAAATAGTATTCCTCCCTTCTGTCTAAAGCAAGTTCTATACTTTCCCATAAAGCAACTATTATGAATTTATCTATGGCACTAACACTAAATACAAGGCTCACATTCCAAAGTTCACGCATAAGATAAACTAGAAAGGGGGATTTTACTTCATAAAGATTAAGTGTGTTCATTTGTATCTTTTTTTTCCAACTTTTTACTATCCAATCTATCATTTTCCCTCAAAAGATACTACATTCAACACTTACTTTTCATTCAATACATCACATCCAACAACTATATTCACATCAAAAACATGTGTGTTTTGCTATTGGAAATGATTTTTTTAATTAATATTTGATTTATAATATAATATATATGATTAAAATAAATTTAAAATATGTTTAAGAGTTTTATATCTTAGTAAATAATATATAATATGAATATCATTTTGTGGAAAATAAAATGTTTATGATATAATACTAATAAAAACATATATATTTATATATGATTAACATAAATTAATTTAAAAAAAAAAAAAGAAAGTTTTGAATGATAAATGAAAAAATTTGATTGGGTCATACATGATACAATATTTGAAAAAAAAAAAGGTAAGAGCATAGTGCCAACTTAAATCCAACTTATAACCAAACATACTAAAAAATGCACAAATTGGAGCATCCTGAAATATGAGGGCAAAAAGATCATATAACAAATAATAGAATCAATAATGACAATGACAAGATTATGACCTTTCCTTATCACCTCCAGCCAGGTACCCCAACCAGAAATAAGCACACAACACTACTCGGGAATAAAGAAAAAAAGATATTATAAAAAGTCAAATAGTAATGAACAGAAAAAATATTGTTGATTCAATCCACTCAATTCACTTCAGGAATGGAGAATTCCGACGTTGAATAAAAGTATAAAACAATCAACTGTATTTATTTGAAAATTCTTACTTAGAAAATTGAGAAAGAGAGGGCAACATAGCAGTTAAGAATCCAAACTCAAGTGACAAAATATGAGATCGATTACCTTAGTCTGATTTCCTCTTTAGTTGAATCTTTTGCATCTTCAGCAGAAGTAACCAAAAATGGCAACTTAGATTTCACTACATTCAATATATGGACTTGTTTTGCAGTAACCTGTCAGCACAATAGGCACTCAAAAACATTAAGGGCCCAAAAAGAAAAAGGGAAAGAAAGAATAGGATTACATTCTCAAACATAATGAGCTACGTATTTTTACCAACAGTGACCTGGTTAAGTTTCTTAGATGATTCATCCGCTACCCTAATTGTGCATACACACAAATGCGGCAAGAGTGTAACATATATTGCTTCTAAAGCATCCTGACATATATATATATGTGTGTGTGTGTATTATACAATCTACCTTCTACTGTGTTTGATACAAAAGCCCACATTACAATATACTTCACGTTTCAGCTTCACACAAATACTATAAAATGATAATAAATATAAAAACAAAATCAAACTGGGCAGAAATATCTTAAGCAAGTAAAAATCGTTTCAATGAGTTAGCATTACAGGAAACTCCAGAACTTCATTGAGTTGGCGTTACAGGAAACTCCAACATAGTCAAAAATTTGTATACCTCAGTTATGCAAAAACTATAATGTGTTCTTTTGAGAAAACACACACACACACAAAAATATTAATATATCACACACATTCATTATTTTTATATTCCCTACACAATTCTCTATACCTTACATCAAAAATTTCCCCTTCAAATTATCTAACAGAACTTTTTAAATACATTTTTGTACTACACAATCTAGAATTGTTCCTTTAAAAACATCACATGAAGCACCAATTTTCTATCCAAATAAATCACTTCCAAACTATTTTTACCTCAAAGCTCTAAACAACAAAACAAAGTCAAATCACAAGCAAAAACACCATAAATTTTGTACCAATTCATTATTTGTGCCTCAATTTAAAAAATTATAAATAAAAAGCGCATTTCGCAGGAAAAATAAAAAAATAAAAGAATAAATAAAAAATGGATCATTCTAATTAATATGATTTGCGTATGCTTATTGGATCATTCCAAAAAAAAAAATCATTGCAAGAATGGTTCCACCTCTATGAAGCCTGTCTTCATTTTCTTATTAATTGACTCCTCAGGACGCCATCTAACTTGGCCTTCCACTGCGATTACATATTCAATCCTCAAGTCGTTCACAACAGAATGAGCCTCAGGAAACTCGTCTGGCAGCGTGGTAATCTAATCATACAAAAAAGAAAAACATGGAATTCAGATAAATGAAATTAACTAACTAATCAGGATTAATGTAATGAAATGGTAAAAGATTAATAAACCTGAACAATTCCAGTATGGTCTCGGAGGCTGAGAAAAGTGAGACCGCCGTGGACACGGTGGAGCGCCACCCACCCGCAGAGTCGCACCTGCTTTCCAACATCCAATTCAGTCAATTCTCCACAGAAATTTGTCCTGTTCACCCATTCAAGGGAAGTTGCATTTGCACGAGAGGCAGTGGAGGAAGAAAGAAGCTCTCCGGCAGTTGGAACGCCAATAGTTTCGGCCGAAGCGGAAATCGAAAACACGCGTTTCCGAAGGAATATGGGAGATATACAAGTGGCGCAGCGGTAAGTGGTGCGCAGAAGTGGGAAGGATGTTCTAAAACAAGATTTGGTGCAGAGGGCAAACGCCGCCGGGAAGGGGCGGAGGAGAAAGGCCATTGCGACGGCGAAGAATGGAGAGAGTTCTGCGGAGGAGGGAGGTTTAAGGATTAGCGAGGCCGGTCGAAACCGGAGGTTCCAATTCGGTTCGGTTCCTGTTTTTGCCGAACCGTAAATCACCGTTCGAACCGGCGGTCCAGTAATAAAAAAAACTGGTGCGGTTGCGGCCTGGCGGGCGGCGGTGGCTGTGCGTGTGTTGATTTAGGGCGAAAATATTGATGATTTGTTTATCTGCAAGATTTCGATTTTGAATTTTAGTTTTGAAAAATAAAATTTTAAATTGAAATAATTGTTTGATGTGATATAAATATATATTAATATAATATTTTAAATGTAAAATTAAATTTTAGTATAGTATAATAAATAAAAATTAAATGTTTGATTTAATATTTTTGAAAAGAAAAAATTGTTGGAATAGTAAAATTAAAAATAAAATTGTACAAGTAAGCACATCCTTTAAATAAAAAGTGTGCTATATAAATAAAATAATTTATATATAATAATTAATTATAGTAATCATTTTAAATTTAAAAAAAAATAAATTTTTTTTAAATTTTAAATAAATTAAATATATTAAAAATAATCAATAAATAAAAAAGATAAATATTATTAATTTATTTATATATTTTTTATTATATAATTTTACATTAAAAAATAATAAACAATATTAACATAATAAAAATTATATATACAAAAAATTATTATTTTATATTTTACATAATTTCAATAGAAATTATTCTTTTTTTAATAAAAATATTTTTTTTAAAATCTAAAATATAAAAATAAATATTGTATAATATTTTTATAATTTTCAATAATTAATAATAAAAAATTTCATAAATGTTAAATTAAAATGAATAAAATTAAATATTTTAAAAAAACGGATATCAATATTCTTAATTGTTATTGTAAATAGCTAATGTCAAAAGTTCTTTTACCAAAAACTTTAATACAAACCAACTAACTGAACCCACCCTAAATGTTTTATTCTGCAATTACTTCATTCAACAATACTCATATTTTTATTAATCAATAAAATACCCATATTGACTTTCCCGTCGGCTTATTTAGGTTCGGCCGAGGTTTACCAGTGCGCAACTTTCGAACAGCGGCTGCGGATTTCAAGTTATCTCAAAAAAATAAAAATAAAATAAAATACCCATATTTTTAATTTACTAAAAAACAAAAAGAAAATGTACATCCAACTACTGAATACAGTATTAAAATTCAAATTCAAATCAAAACTTGTGATAGTGATATTCAAATTATGGGTGTGTTTGTTTGGGGTTTGGATTTTGAGTTGGGATTTGAATAGTAAAAATTTTGAATTTGAATAGTTGTATGATGTGATATAAACAGGTGTGTGATGTTTTGAATGTAAAATTAATTTTCAGTATAATATAAAAAATTGAAAAATAGGTGTTTGATTTGATGTTTTTGGAAAAAAAATTGGATAAATAATAGAATTTTGTTAAAATTGTACAAACGAACACACTTTACAGCACATTCTCACGTTATTAAACAACAAATTCAAGTCAAAACTAAACTAAACAAAATCTTTATTAAAAATTAATTACTATTTTATATAATTTTCAAATTTATTATTAATAAATAATATAAAATATCTATATAAATATAATTTGAATCAAATTTCCTAAAATACTCATTTCAATTTAAAAAATAAACAAATAAAATAAAATAAGAGAGGGTCTTCGTTGTAATGACCAAAATGGAGCAGTTGCACCCGAATTAGACATATCGCCAGCGTCCTCACCAGGGCACCCATGGAAGTAGCCGTGCCTACATCTCCGGGGATTTCACCGCTCCAACTGGAAGATTGCATGGAGGAGTTGTTAAAATTCACCCTACTTTCTTCCATACATGGCAAAATCCACACCGGCCTCTCAAATGAGTACTGCGCCAACCTCCTCAGAGAGGACCCCTCCGATCCCCTTTCCACTCGCACCGGTAAAGCGCCTCTCTTTACGATCGCAGATTGTTACAAGCTTAAATGAGAGATGTGCGTATGGCGTGTGATAATGCGTCTGCTATAATTGTGCTGAAGGAGTTTGATTCAATGGGCTGGTTGATGAATGAAATTAGTTTCCGATTGGCCTTCCCAATCTACTTGTCTCTTGTGTTTGCTTGATTTAGCACTAATGAAGTTTTATAGCATAGTCAAGGGGATTGATAAATGAATCTAAACTGTGACTAAAAAGGAAAAAGGAGCATGCTGAGGTTCAACGACTGATATTTAAATGGCAGCATGTTCTGTAAATTACAATAGCTCGTCAAGAATTGAATAAGTCTTTTTGGGGATCAATTTGTTGTTAATGCAGACATATTCTTATGTCAATATCCTGGATTTTATTTTATTTTTTATTTTTGATCAGCAATATTCTGGATGTATTTTAGTTGTTCGAAATGTGGTTGAATCTGTTTCTCTCTCTCTCATGTGACCCTTATCATTTTATTACTTTAAATGGACATTTTTAAAAATAGTTCCGTAAATAATTTTTTTTCGGCTAAAATGGTCCTCCGGTGCCGTATTCGCCACGTTGGTCGCCGATGCTGATGTGCCCCTAACAGGGCTAATATGTTATCGCCACGTTAGTGACATGTCGGAGGACAATTTAGCAAAATTTTGTTACTTGTGGAACTACTTTTAGACATGTCTATTTAAAATCCTAACATGATAAAAAAATTAGAGAAATGAGACTAAAAATAGTTTATTTATGTAAAATAAAAAATAAAAAAATTTCACGTGTCGCTGATGTCGCATCTACGTGCTGATGATATGCAAGCACCACGCCAGCAATGGCGAGCTAGTGTGGTGAGTCCGGCACCAGAGGACCATTTTAGCAAAAAAATTTTACTTACGATATTATCTTTAAACAGGGTCCATTTAAAAGGGGACAAATACAACACTAAAAATGAGTTTACCCTGTACATATATATAGCATGCTCTGTTATCTAGTTTATGATGTACGCTAAGTGTTTTTCTACTAGCACCTTAGATATGCGATTATATTTAATTATGCCAAGCATCTAATTTTTCTTTTATGTTTATCCCTGTATTCACACTTCATATATACAACTTTCTATCACTCAATTTAGTGGGAAAAATACATTTTAGTTTCCAAAGAGTATTATACTTATGAGATTTGTATATATTTATACTTTTTGAGGATCAAAACTGCAAGTACTTCAGATTTGATGCTTCATTTGTTGAAGAAAAATAATCTCTTTGCTCAGAGGAGCATTATACTTCTAAAGGGACAAAGAAAACATTATTAAACCTTTCATTGTCTTTCATATACTCAAACTTTTCTGTTATTCCCCTTTGAGCTTTATTTTACCTTAATGTATTAAGGTTTAAGAGTTTCATTAGCTCTGCAAATTTGCTAATGGTTTAGGGCCACGTTTTGTCAGAAGATACTGGAGGAGTTCCATCACATCCTTTATACAAGCACCTAGCATCATCGTTTTGCCATATTATACATTCTGGAGCCTTGTCTACAGCATATAATGAACTTAAACCATTGCATGAAGACCATTGCATAAAGAAGGAAGATGAATGGAACAAGCTGTTTCTGGAAAAGGGTTCTCTTCTACAAAGTGTAATATGACAGCTGTGTTTCAGCAATATCTTTTCTTTCTTGGATGATTTAAAACCTCCTCGATTCTAGTTAATGATGGGCTTGTGCATGATAGATGCTGGAAAAAGTGAGCTTTCAGCTTCATGTTCAGGAGCCTTTCTTTTCTCAGCTGAATGGTATTTGTTCGGTGGTTTTATCACTTTATGCTTTCTTTTTTTCATATAGCCTTGCCATGTTAAGTAAGCATTATCCTTGTATGCAGATGAACTCAAAACAGTTGAAGGAAGGTGTGCTTCTGGTAATTACAATAGGTATAACATGTTTTCATATAATTGTCATCCAGCTCTTACTGAAGTCATGCCAAAGCATGCAATCTTTCTCTGCTAAGCAAGGGGACCATTCACATTGGTTTCCACGCCAACTATTTAACACCTAGGTGATCTGGTCCAGCCTGAGGATAATTAAATACAACCATCTCTGAAAATTGGTCACAGCATAAATGTCAACTAAATTATTCTTTATTCCGAGAACCCTTCAGATAGAAGCATACCTGAAAATGTTGATATTCTGCTAGCTTTTGTAATACTTTAGTTATTATGGTTGTTGTTGTTTTGGGTTGATAATAATCTCTTTTGCTTCTTGGTTTTAGTATCCAGTCTGGACATTTACTACTCTTCAACAAATGCTTGATCCTTAAAGTTCAGGTGATGTGTCTCCTGCTGTATCTTTATATGATCATAGATGAATCTTTTGCACTAATTCTCTTTTATTTTTAGGATGTACGGAAATATGTCTCATTTCATGAAATGCTTACAGCAGAGACTCTTTCAAAAGTTCTCCCAGGAGTAGCAAGCATTGAAGAAGGTAGTAAGGTTACTGGATACAATTATGATAAAGAACTTGCAGTATTATGAGTTATCTCCGTCAACAATGGTGGTAATGTTAAATTTGTCTCATTTCAACGATGGTACTTTCTGGCAATTTAAAAGTGATTACTAGCTGTCATCATTTGATTAATTTGGGGTCTTTATGTGAATGTATGCTTGTTTGACATTAAGTACTTCCCATGTTTAAATTGAGGGAAGTATCAAGAACCTAAAATGATATATTTCTGTAATTGAAACATTGCATTTCTGTAAAATAAATCTATTCTTTGATATGTTTTGTTTCAGGATATGCTTTTTATGTGCTGTACTTGTTGACCAATATAAATATCCAAGTAATGTGTCAGGCTGTATGAAATTCAACTTCTTGTTTGTACTGCTCATGATAACTTGCTTTTTGTTGTTCTTGATTCTTATATTGCTGAAGAATTTCGGAAAATTCAGGCAGTTATCAACTTCATCTCTCATTTAAATTGAACTGCAACCTAATCTTAACTCAATAAAAGTTCATCTTTTTGTACACTCCATGAAGGAGGATAGATTTTTGGACTATATTACAGCACCAAGTTTATGTAGTGTACCCATTGTTTAGTTGGACCTCTTAGTTGATATTATTTTAGAGCTTCTCAGGAAAGTGTCATTTGCTGCCAGCCCTCTTGTTGTGAGTTCAATATCTGAGCTTTTTGTGGTGAACTTCTTTTCTTACTTCAATTAAAAGTATATGTTTCTTGAACTACTTAACAAGTTATTTCAATGAAAATCTTACTGGATGATAAGGTAAATAATTAGATAACATGTTAATCCATTTACTCTTCCTGGATTCTTTATGATTGATAATTGATTTTTTTCAGGTGTGCAAATCTACAGAAATTTCTATTCAGAAGAAAAGGAGAGTTCTAATGGAGTTCTTGCTATATCTGTTACAAAACCAACTTCTCAGCTTTATGTTGTTATGGCCTCCATACTTACAGTAAGTGTTCTCAGAAACCTGCACTGTTCTTTGGTTTCTGTTTCTTGATTCCACAATGAGAAGTGATAGTATGTACACTATTCTGAAGATTGACTCTAGACCTAAAATTATAAAATTCATGGAAGCATCTCACAATATTCTGGTGTTGAACTTTGGCACCCTTTTCCACATGGTTGTTAGAGAATTAAAAAAAAAAGTGGGTGGAATCGTAAATCCCATAAAAATTCTCCTATTGTTTTTTTCATTCCACGAAGAATGAAAAGATAGAACTTTTTTGACCCTGTACAATTTTCGTAGACACTACATTGAATTGCATTGTGCATGCACTTGGTCCTACATGGATTTATATATTATTAGTAACAGAAAATTTGAGATTTAATATTGAAGATGAGTATCCACATGAAGCATGCCGCAGCAGATGTGGCACATTATTAAAAAATTGAGTGATCTCATAGTACAAGGGGACATGGCAGAGCAGATAAACATTGAAAGATCAATCATGAATTCTACTACTGGAGAAAAACCATGGCTTAGAAGATTAGCTCGACCTAAGTAAAAATCTCTTCACAACCCCAAACACTGCGGGTTTGTTTTTTTTGAGTTTGTATCTAGGTTTTTATTATCTGGATTATGCATTTTTCGAAAAAAAAAAATGATACTTTTTTTTTTCCTCATAAAACATCACATCAAATAATATTTTAATTAAAAACCCAAACTTCCAAATCCACTCGAGGCTGAAAAGAAACACACCCGCAGCATTTTTCAAAAAGTCTGCCAAAATTGAAAATAGGACATGACGTTGGATCTTGAAAAACCTATGGAACCAAAATTGTCATTGCAGGAGAGATCTTATAGGAATTTTACTGTTTTGCCTACAAAACTGCTTTATGAAGCCTTTGGTATCTTCTGCTTGTAATAACCTTTAGGCATTTAAGTTGAGTGAGTCCATTAATGTTGACAAACAGAGAGATCTAATTCTCAACAATAATGTCTGAATCTTGCAGAGTGTGGTATGTTATTAACATATCAATCCCATTGTAAAAGTGCAATCCTATTGCATGAAGGGGTTATGTTGAAATCAATATTTGTGAAAATTACTTAGGTGTTTTGTGTCCCTTTCTGATGATTTTAGTTGTATATTGGCACAAATGGCACAATGAGATGTAAAATAAATGTCAAAGTTCATTATATTCTTTGATACAGTCTCTATTATTAAGTACTTTGTGTTATATCATCATTTCCTTTCTGTAGCATATTCTCAAGAAATGTTTTGCGCATAAATTATTTGGGTTTGTTTATGTTGTAGGAATTGAGCTATGCTGGAGTTCAAAAATTTCTGGGCTTTGTGGAGACTACGGCCACGAACCCAAATTTACTTCCTCCCCCGATATCCACTCTGATGTCAGCATTTTTAATGCCACATAATCCTGATGTATGATTGTATCTCAGATGACTAGATTTTTACTAGCCCAATTCTGGTTATATTTGTGCTCCTTGTTGTGATATCCTGAATGTGACGTTTTTTTTATTTTGGAAGAAAGCGTTAACAACCAAACATAGCTCAGTTTTTCTCCAGAGATTTTATTTTATTGGATACATTATGGGATTTGTGATGGACTTTTGATCTTTTCTTCACACTTTTAGTCATGACATCTCTGGCAAATCCCAACATTGAATTTATTGAGCACATGCATAGTTTTGGGTATTATTATGAAATCGCCAATGCAAGAAAGGGAATGTTTTTCTTATATGTTTCCCTTCATGGTGGTCCATTTCATATTGTGATGTATAACTTATCTTTTGGCTATAAATGTAATGTCTCTTTTTTGGCTCAAGGTTAAAGGTTCAGCTTTGACAAGTGGTGCCAGGGCACTAGCAAAGCATGTCGATAGAAGCAATGAAAAATACTGGGGTACCTTACATGGAAGTGGTAGATTCCTTTGCTTATGACACGATTAAAATTTCCTTCTAGTCCATATAAATTAAAAATAGATTGCCATTATGTGAATGTGAAAGCTGGTACAAGAGCATGGAACTCTACCTGAGCAAATGCTTTAACCATGGAAGTGACTTAGGTATCAAACTAAAATAGTCTGAATCATACATGTTTTTCTCTCTGCACAGCTCTCTTTGTTTTGCAATGAGAACCTGAGGTCTTGGAATTTTTATTTTTTTTTCGAAATTGTTAGTAGTTTAATAACCTTTTATCTGTATTTTTATTTATTGGTAGTAGCAAGAAGAACAAACCCTATAGTAGTTATATTTTAGTCAAGATGCTAAAACAAACATTTCATCGCCAATCATCTTGGCTGTTTACAAATTGTGAAGATTTTGTAGCATCATTTTTAAGAATTAGCTCATTAATCCTATGCTATTTTCTGGACTTGAGGCTCTAGACGGTAGATGAACCGAGTCATTGAAAGGGCATACTATTTTTAACAATTACAAAGCAATACAGCTTTTGCATGCCCTCTATGTATTTTTTATTTCTTTTTACTTTTTTGTTCATATCTAGAATCATTTTTCTTGCTCATATATGATGTATATTTTGGCATGGTTGCATGTATTATTTATAGTGGCATTTCTTTGGTTTAATTCACTTTACCCGACCGAGTTTCTAAACCTGCAACCATCACCTCTAAATTCAAGCTTATGAGTTTTCTTCATATAACACCTAGACACCTTAATCCAATCCTCAATTCTATTTCTTATTGTAGACCCTGGGCATATTCACTTAAAGTAAATAGAATGAAAATAATTTGTTTGGTAGATAAAAGGGACCCTAGAGGAACTGATTTATCTCATCAGACTGTTTTATATGAACTTTTTAGTTGTTTTATACAAATTTAAAGTTTTACTATGCATAAAAAGCATGTCATTAAGTTTGATGAAATCATATTATTAGTGGTTATCCTTTATGGAAAACTTGGGTTAAATGAAAATGTGTAAGTGCCCGTGTTTAACAATTTCTCAGTTGACAGATTCTCATCAATCATCACTTATTTGTTGTGTGCCATTGCTGTTTCTCCTTACATCATGGGATATTTCTTGTAATTAACGTTTGTTTGGTTGTGATTTGAAATACAATGTTGATTTGAGTTTTTGTTTAAATAGTATTTTGATGTGACGTTTTGTGATAAGATATAGTGTACTTTTATTGAAAATTGTGTAGATGAATAGTGGTGTTCTTTTATTTGAAATAAAAATCAAATACACTAGATTTGAGTTAGAAAATTTGTGTACAACTGTTTTAATTCACGGGTACCTGAAATTTTGCTCCTCTTATTACCTAACACTATGCAGATATATTACCGTAGATTTTGACTCCCGGGATTCACCTTCCTTGAGTCTTAAAGAAAAAAAAAACTAGAGGTGAATAGACACTAAGAAATTCTAACATACAGCATCAAAATAGGCCACATGATCCGTCCCTCGCATATGCATTACATAAATCATCTCAAAAGATAAAGCCATCATCTGATAATTCCAAATTTTGCCAATCAAGAAAATAGGAAAAGACAAATCTATTAACTGACTGATAGCGCATTGTGCGACAATGGTATGAATAAAAGCAAGGTATGGCGATATTTTGTGCTATTTTTGGGACGGCATGCATAGATATATTTCAGGCTTCTGTGCTTTTTCACTTTCTACATATGCCTGCAGACTTAAACAAGAATCAGCATGCTATAGATTCGATCACTGGCCTTCTAACCGACGGCTGCTGGTTGAATATGCACATGGTTTCGCCACATGGAACAGTGTTTGAAGTAAGAAACCGGGATGGCTATGGTGCACGGTGGTCTGCAGATGGATCCAAGGTATGCTCTGTATGCAGATTATTTATTTAGTTTCTTCGGACCATGATTCGTGCAATGATAGAGATTAATCATACATGAACCCCAAATGCCACATGTATCTGCTGCAGTTCATAGGATTTCTTGAGCCGTACATGTTGGACGGGCACTCAAACCGGTGGAGGCACTAGTTCACTACACCCTCAAAATGAATCGGCATGCCATTATTTTCAAAATCCATTCGACCCCATTTGCATGCTCTGCATAATAGTTTTTATTCTTCGGGTGCGGACTAGGTAAACCTATGGTTAGCACAATGTTGTTTGTTTTTGAACGCCAGATTCATGATTTTGAACAGGGTGGGTGGGTGGGAGTTATTTGAAACCTTAGTCCAATATGTATATATTTTTCCATTTCTATCTATGTCTCATCAAGGGGCCTTTTTTGAAATAATGACACTATGAAATGTTGGAAGGCAGGATTCATTGATTTATTGTATTTGTTGTGCAAAAAGCATTTTGATATAATCCTAAGGCACCTGCAATAAAGATATTTATAAAAGTACTTGGGACACCTGGTCCGCAAGCCACACAAAGCCGAGCGTGTCGGGATTGCAGATTGACCCAGGTCAACACTGAGTCCGGAGACTTTCAGGGTTCACCCACTCTCATGTTACTAGCAAAATATTTAACTCTATAGTTTTTTTAATAGGATTTTCGAATATTAAATCTATTTAATTTCTTATTCAACATCGATCGAGTATTAAATTCTTTCCGACTCATATTACTATTCGGATATTACAGTATTTTTATATTACTTTTTATACTATTTTGCCTCTATCTTATATTTTATTTAATTTATTTTTATAAATATATATTCATATCAATTAATTTAATTTTAAAATTAAATATGAAGAAAAATATATCAATAGATTTTGAACGCATTTATGCGAAATAGGTCATAATTTTGGAAATATAAAAAATTTTGTTAAATAAGAATGGCTATAATTTTGAAAATATGAAAAATTGTGGAATTTTGTAAAATTACGAATGAATTTTATATAATTTTATCTTTTATTTAAGTAAAAAAGAATCTATTGTAATTTAACAATGAAATTATAAATAAAATTTATTTTCTATTTTTAGTTTCAAAGTTGTATACTCCATACTTTTTTCAAATAGTTCACTCCATACCATTATGCTATACTTAGGGTCGTATTAGGTTGTGCTATGGGTAATATAAATTGTCCATTCGAATTCGATCTGAACCTAAGTCGAGTTCAAATTGATCTGATTTAATTTCAAATTACCCAAAATTCGAATAAATCGGACAAAAACAGACATGAAAACTTAAAAAGATAAATTGACCTAAAAAAATTTATTTTTATTTTTTATAGTATTTTATATTTAAAATAATATAAATATTATAAAATAAAATAATAATATATAATTTTAAGTCATTTGAAATACGAAACACTATTTTATTTTTATATTTTGTGGTATAAGATCAACATGAAATTCGATTCGAACGCATCACAATTTTTTTTTTGGTAAATTGATTAAATCTTTTGCAAATTCGAAATATCCAAATGCAAAATTTTTTCATAATCAAATTTAATTTTGACACATGTGGTATATATTTGTATTGCATAAAATTCAAATATTAAAAAATTGGATTAATATATATATATATATATATATATTTCTATATCTCTTATCTACATATAAAGCCTTGAGTTTAGGTGAAAGAGTTGTGGGGGAACGAACACTCAAACATACACATATAACCAATGGAATAGCTGTTATAGCACAACGAGAGCGAGATCAGATGGATTATACAGGGAGGGAGACGGGGCAACGGTGGCCGGCGGATGAGGAGGAGGAGGAGCACAGCGCAGCGGGAAACGTGGTGGACGGCCTTGGTTCGTACCGAGGCAAAGTAGGACTAGTGATTGACTGTGAAGAGGAGATTATGCTTCTTTGGGGAATCCACCAGCCCATATTCTCCAAGCACAACGCATTCGTCGCTCAATCGGCTCTTCAGATCCACATTGATGCTTGCGGCCGCTCTCTCTCCATTCTTCAGTCTCCTTCCTCTCTGGTTCGACCCCTCCTTCCTTCCTTCAATTGTTAATTGTATGTTTGTGCCTCTTGAATTGTGCTGCTGCTAGGTTTTATTTTTAGAGCTTTTTTGGTTATGGAGTTTAATTAGATATGGTGTAAAGAAGTCCATATCCAAGAATGATCTGTTCTCCAAATCCCTACAATTAATTGTTATTTGGAAACATCTCAACTGTTACTTTTGATTTTGTTTTCAATGTTGGCCAGAAGTATGAACCGAAAGCATTATTATTAGCAAACAATGATTCGATTAAATTTTGAAGCCAAAGACCCTTACCGATCCTGTGTTCTTGCATTGAATTTGAATGTTTCTTCTTAGCCTTGGAATTTCTTTACCTAAGGTGCTGGAAGGAGTTGCATTGAGCAGAGAAGGTCCTAGTTGGCTAATCCATCTTGTGTATATCCGGTATTCAAAATGGAATTGTGGATTTGATGGCATGTTGATGCTTTCTATAAGAGTTTTGATTGATAAATTTGTTGGCTAGGTGTTGCATTTATGCTTGTGGCAGGTTATTGACTGGTATGGAATTTCTGTCTCTGAAAGCCAAGGTGTAACAAAAAATGTTTAGGGGCAGAGAAAATGATTTAATCTGGTTTAAGTGAAAATCTGGCTTGGTTTGAGAATCTTAGGCTTGATACAGACATACATATTTCTTTTGTGATTGTTGTATTTATTGGTGGTAGAGAAATCGAGGCAATAGATACCACCTATGTATGTTTCACATGATCTCAACTAATGAGTATCAATAATCTCCAATAATTTTGCTTCCATCCCTTAATTGAGATTTTGGACTTGTATTAAATTTTTATTTCTTTTATCTAAAAAGAAAAAAAAAAATTATAGATGTTATGAGGATTTGTACATGGGTTGTGAAGTGTTATCAGTGTTGGTTCCACCGATGTTCGTGTGTTTCCTGTACTCTCATCTTAACTTAGAATTTATCTGCATATTCGATCAACAATCCACTTCAAACTTAGTTAAATCAAAGAATTTTAGATTTGTGCAAATGGAATAGGATGTTTCTTGCTTCGGTTTCATATTAAAGTGGATAGTAGTATATGCCGAATGTTTCAGCCCGCGCTTTCTACTTTTCTATGACATATAGGCAGGAATTTCTACCCCCCTCGCGGTTCTTGATTTATAGCTTTCGTGATTTAATGATGGCTCTATTATCATTTGCAGGGCACTCCTGGTGTGACTGGTGCAGTGATGTGGGATAGTGGCATCATCCTGGGGAAGTTTCTAGAGCATTCGGTGGAATCTGGAACACTCATCCTCCAAGGAAAGAATGTCATTGAGTTGGGGTCTGGCTGTGGGCTTGTTGGGTAACTTCAATTTATTTGATTTTCTAATCATTTTCCATCACTGCATCTATTGTGTTTTATATTTCTAAGATATAAATTTCCCAAAGGAATAGGTATACACGACATGGCTAATTTTATTTTCATTGAAAGCATCTTTCTTTCTCTGTTTTGGATAATCTGATTTGCATAAATTCCAAATATTGTATTCTGCTCCGCGAAATCATAAATCATGTTGTTGATGTAATTTTTCAACAAAAATAAAGTAAAATTCAAAGATATAGAAAATATCCTTAAACTTGATTAATTAGTGCCTGAGATTAGGAATCTCTAAACACTGTAATGTACAGAAAATAAACTGGAAAATAAAAGACTGAAATTTAAAGTGGTGATCCCCAAATCTGACTTTGCTTTGTTGAAGTTGATTGAAGATGCCTTGCCAAATGATTATCCAAGCCTTTAAATATTCTCTGGGAAACCGTACCGAAAACCGTCACCCGAACGGTTACAACGTCTCCTTCCCAACCGTCTTCCAACCCTTCTCATGCTGACACGCGTCCCCAGCAGACCAAAATTATCCCTATATTTCACTCTTTGCGCCGACCACAGACCTTCCGCTCTTTTGGCCCGACTGCCAATCTACAATAGTATGGGTCCGACCGCCAATCCTCCCGACTTGCGAACCATCTGGCTTGAGGTCTTTCCGCCCTGGGGACTTCCCGACCTGAAAACCTTCCGACTTGAGGTCTTTCCGTCTTGAGGACCTCCCATCCTGAAAACCTTCCGACTTGAGGTCTTTCCGCCTTGAGGACTTCCCGACCTAAAAACCTTCCGACTTGAGGTCTTTCCGTCTTGAGGACTTCCCGACTTGAAAACCTTCCGACTTGAGGTCTTTCCGCCTTGAGGACTTCCCGACCTGAAAACCTTCCGACTTGAGGTCTTTCCGCCTTGAGGACCTCCCGACCTGAAAACCTTCCGACTTGAGGTCTTTCCGTCTTGAGGACCTCCCGACCTGAAAACCTTCCGACTTGAGGTCCTTCCGTCTTGAGGACCTACCGACCTGAGGTCCTTCCGTCCTAATGACTTTCCGTCTTGAGGACCTACCAACCTGAAGACCTTCCGACCTGATGACTTTCCGTCTTGAGGACCTACCGACCTGAAGACCTTCCGACCTGATGACTTTCCGTCTTGAGGACCTACCGACCTGAAGACCTTCCGACCTGAGGTCCTTCCGTCTTGAGGATCTACCGACCTGAAGACCTTCCGACCTGAGGACTTTCCTTAGTAATAAACCTATTTTCCTTGATTTCCTCATGGTGCCCTTCAGTCAGTTCAATCAACTCTATTGCCAGGCCCATTCTTCTTTTTACCTTGGGCTTTTAACCTAATTCTAAATTTCGTACGTAACAACTTGCCCGCCGCCAAGGGACTTTCAAACGCCATTTAACAATCAATGTTTGGAAGTTCATAAATCACCACCCTCTTGAAAAACTCCCTTAGCAACTGCACCAGTTACTGCAACTCTCCTGAGTAACTTCCTTCTCCGCAATACAAGCTTTTCTGAATCACAATCCCAAAACACTCTAACCATGGCGAATCAATACATTCCTGCCCTTCCCTTCGACGGAACCCTCCCGGAGGGCCCATTTTCAGCCTCGAAAGTACTGACTCCGACGATCCGTCCATATTGCACTACTCCTGAAGATTCTAATCGGATGAGGGAAGTCTTGGAATCCCGAAATCTCTTGGCTATCAACAACCCTAACTACCAAGCACTTCGCATTCGAGACAGCATCAAAACCCATCTTACGGACCCAAAAGATCCTTACTGCGCTTGGTATCGACGGGTAGCAGAACACTTCCAAACCCAATGGCGTTCCCAAAAGATCGACCAAGCAATACTACTGTCCACTATGCCTATCAACCTGCATGAGAAGGTGTTGTTGGCCATGTCTGCCTTCTGGAATGCGGAAAATGGGACTTTCCTCTTCCCATCAGGCCCCTTTGGCCCAACTCTTATGGACGTTGCAATGATCGCGCATCTCCCAGTCGTGGGTGAAGACCCTGTAATGGGAGCCCTAGATGGGCAGGAGCCATCAGAAGACCATCCAGGGTGGTCTTTACAAGGTGTGAAGGAATGGGGTTGGACAAAGTTCGCAACCGACCAGCAAGGGACTCCAGGGACCCCTGTAACCGACCGGGAGCATACTGCCTTTATCCTTTTTTGGCTTTGTAGGTACGTCATTGTTTCCCCTTCCAAATGTGTTCTTCCTTCTCATCTCGACCTAGCCATTCATATCGCGTCAGGTCGTTTTTTCTCTCTTGGCACCCTGTTTTTAGCCAATCTGTTTGAAGGACTCACTAGAGTTAGCCTTCGTTTAACAGATAATGATAATAGGAAATTAGACACTGCCGCGTCGGGTCCTTTTTGGTTTTTAGAACTTTGGTTCCGGCTCTACTTCCCCAACGCGTTTAACTTAGGATCTCCGCCCACTATGCCAACAGCTGAAAAACATTTGGGATTAGCCCTTAACCGACTCTGCTCAGGACGCAATAACCTCCAATCTTCCGATCCAATAATAATCGCAGTTTTAACAGATACCCGCAGTAACTCTCGATTTTCTATGTATAAAAAGTATGCGGGCTATGCTCCCGACCATTTTTGGCCTTTTCCAGTACCAAATCCGCTTCCGACTCCTGAGCCTTGTCCTCATTCCACTTATCCTTTTGCCTGGGACGTTGCCCTCAAACCCAGGTCCCTCTTTAGTAGCAAAAAACTTGATAAAAAGGGGCAGAAAACCTTTTACACTTTTAATTATGAACCTCAATTCATGGCGCGCCAGTTCGGCTGTTGCCAGGGTATCCCTGGACCCGTCGCGTGTCCGCATATAATTTTTCAAAGCCCTGACCGACGAGTCCTACCGAATTCAATCCCTTCTTATATCTCCCAGCTCACCACGTATATAACTTCCAATTCTTATATTCCTTTCCGCTCCAACCCTGAGACTGTAGATACTTTCAATGAATGGTGGTCGGTTGTATGGCCCCTGATTTCCCCTGATGAGGGTCGGTTGCTGAACATACTCCTTCCACCCCAAGGATTGGTTCTAGGGGCGGCTAGACATACTAGCACACAACAACAAACAGCCGCCCCGGGAACCGGGTCTGTTGTTCCAACGCGAAAAAGGAAAGCGTCCCGGCTGCCAACACCCCCGACCTCTGGGGCCGATCAGCAAGCACCAGCGGACCTTGGAACTACGAAAACATCAGCAAGGATCCGACCCCGAATAGGTAATTTTTCTTAAACCGTGAACCAATTCACGATATCTTAACATTGATTTCACATATCATTCACCAGAACCGACCTTGGCAGCCCCGACCACACAACCGACGCCAACCCCAGCCGACCAACCTTTGGTCCCGACTGAGGCAGTTCCTCTCCAAACTCCTACTCCACTTCTTACTTTGCCAATGAGCAGTCGGACGGAGGACCCGACGAGGAGGCAAACTCTTCCTCCCGTACCGAGGAGTGGTCGGGCCAGGCACCCGACCAGGAGGCAATCTTTACAAGAACTGCCTATAGCACCAGTAAGTCCTCTTATCAGCAATACTTAGGATTTTAATGACCAACCTTGATATATTCAATCACCAACATTTCCATGATTTTTCACAGACACCTTCACCCATCGGATCAGCAGCAAGGGTCTCTTCTGACAGCGAGGGGACTACTTCCCAGATGGGTCGACCGCCATACATGGCATCAGACTCATCCATTCCGCAGGAACAACCAGCCGCCCTCGCCGAAACTGACCCTCAAGACGACATCCTTGATGCTGCTGATCCCGAAATCGAAGGTGTCCCTGCTGCGGCTATCTCAGGTGCTCCAGAGATCCCGGCTGCAATGGCTCTAGATGCAGCCGCCCAACCTGCAGCCGCCCAGCCAGCAGCAGCGTTACCTCCAGCAATTGAGTGGCAGGCAGAAGAACCACCTGTGGCAGCCCAACCTCCAGAAATGGAAGAAGTGTCTTCGTCCGATTCGGAGACTTCTGTGAATTTGGTAAGATCAAAACCAATCCATGCTACAACGTTTCTGTCAGAAAACACTAACTGTTTTATATACTACTTTCCATAGGGACCCAGGTCGGCACCTCAACGACCATTCGCAGCAGCCGACGAGTCGGCTGCTATTATACCAGCTGTCTGCCCTACTCGACCGACCTCATTGCTGCCCCCCTCACTGACAGCAGTCCGCCCAGAGGTAACACATATCTGAATAAATTTGCACCTCCCTTGGAATATTTATTGACATTGTAGGACTTGCAGGGGCCTTCGGACTTAGCTGTCCTATCGACTGTTCCGGTTCCGGCGGAAGCCCGAACCATATTCACTGAGGCCATTAACCATCCCCTGTCAGAATTAGGATCTGACTTATTGGACAGACTCATTCAGACGGTTGGTGGCCTTCTTTTTTACACTCCAACGGAATCGCCAGCCGTCCCCATTCTGCATCGGCTGATGGAAAGACTTACAGAGCTCAAGACTGAAGTGTTAGTCATTGGACTCCTGTCAGCCGAAACCCCCCAGCCCGACTTCGATCAAACAACGCTGGAGAATTCTTTGGCTAAGACCCGAGAATCTCTTCAGCAGACTACTGGAAGGCTGGGTGGTCTCCTTAGCACGAAAGCTCAAGTTGATGAAGCTATTCAGAAAAAGGAGGCAGAATTGCGGGAGCTAAAGAAGGAACAGTCTACCCTGGATAAGCAAATTACCAATGAACAGCGTCTGCTTGAGAAATATACCAAAAATGAGGCTGAATTGGATCAAGAGCTAAAAACCCAAGCCCGATCCCAATTCATCATAAGATATCAAACGGCTGCCAATACCAGAAGGCTATCCAGGGATGAAATCAAATGGACCCATATAAAAACCGCCCTAGGGGCATTGTTGTAATAGCTTCCCCTTTGTAACAATACTTGACTTAGTAATCCATTTTTTCTTTCTTCTCTCAAAACAAGGATCACCTTTCAATTTCCAATTTTGTAGGAATAAAAACAAACTCCTTCTTTAAAAGAACATCGTTTCTCACATTTTAAGAAACACATTCCAAGGCATATTTTGAAAATCACAACACTTGAAGTGTTAATAAACATGGCGAATGACCAACCTTATGTTCCATCAAACAACTGGCAGGGTGTTCTTCAACCCTTCTTTGTGGGTAATCACCCTATTGGAGGCCATGCAGAAGACTTGTTACATATACTCAAGCAACTAGACTTCAAATTCCGATTCTCCCAACGAGGAAGAAGAACCATTCATCGCGTCATCCGCCTGATGGAAAAAGTCATTGAGGGGTATGAACCTCTTCGTGACATCCTTAGCCGCATTCCTGATCTCCATCACCACATGGAAATGATAGAAAATCACGCAGCAACTATACTTCCAGATCTTGGTTGGGATAACATCTTTTCCAATCAACGAAAAGTCTTCTCAAGATTACGGACCATTGTTGATCGTGAACATCAAGCCATAACAGACATGCAAGCACGTACCCATCAAGACTTAGACGAAATGCAAAGCCAATGGGAAAGGTACCGACCAGATTTGGAAGATCTTATTGAAGAAGAACCAGAGCTAATATCCACTCACTGGGATGAAAAGTTTGATTCAGAGGCAGAAAATTTCTCACCAATACATGATGACTAACTGAAATGAACCTTTAAATAGGTTCGAACCCTACAAATGGGTTCTGAATAATATTTTGTTTCAGGCAGTTTTGTTATCTGAAAAGGCAGGATAATACCTCTTCAGATATTTAGCATTAATACAATCATGTACTCTTCTACCTTCATGATTTACAATAATGAACGCGCCATTTCCAATATCTTTTTGAACAATGTATGGTCCTTCCCAATTCGGTGACCACTTTCCTAATTGATCAGTTTTCTTATATGTAGGAAGAATGGTCTTCCAGACTAGGTCTCCTTTTTGGAATGTCCTGTGAAGAACTTTCTTTCCGTAACTCCTTGCTCTGATTTCACTCTGTTTCACACTTCGATCTATTGCATGGAGACGGTTAACATCCAAATCTTCTAACTGCTGCAACATAAGTTGTTGGTATTCCTCTGTAAGATCACTATCAGTAAATTCTGTTCGGCCAGATGATACTCGGATTTCGGCTGGTAAAACAGCATCTTGGCCAAACGTGAGTTGGTAAGGTGAGAACCCTGTGGCCGTATTTCTGGTATTCCTATGTGCCCACAAAGCCTGAGACAATAACAAATGCCACTTTCTTGGATTCCCTTCAACCATCTTCTTTATAATCCCAATAATAATCTTATTTGCTGCTTCTGCTTGTCCATTGGCTTGGGGATAATAAGGTGACGAATGATGTAAACGAACACCGAATTCTGCCAAGAAACTAGAGAACTTTTCCCCTGTGAAGACCAAGCCTTGGTCGGTTGTTATAGACTGAGGAATACCATATCTGTAAATAATTTGGTTCAAAACGAAGTCTATCACTTCTTTCTGATCCACATTTTTCAAAGCAACTGCTTCTACCCATTTGGTAAAGTAGTCAGTCGCGACCAAAATGAAACAATGATGTTTCGATGAAGCAGGATGTATTTTACCAATAATATCCATAGCCCATGATTTAAAAGGCCATGGTTTTGCCAAAAATTGCAATTCGGTTACTGACAAATGGTTTAAGTTTCCATGTCTTTGACATTCCTGGCAGCCCTTAGCAAATTGTATGCAATCTTCAAAAATCTTTGGCCAGAAAAACCCCAAACGATGAATGGCCCATCTCATATTCAGACCTGCCCGATGAGCTCCACATATCCCACCATGTACTTCTGTCATCACCTCTAGAGCTTCTTTAGATCCCAAGCATTTCAAAAGTAAACCTTCAAATGATCTCTTGTACAAAATTCCATTTATCAATTGAAAACGTAAAGCCTTCAATCGTGTCGCAATTGAAACACTCGCACCTGGATTCTGTAAATACAGGATAAGCTCTGTTCTCCAATCGGGCACTGTTTCGCCATCGGATTCCTGTCCGACAATAACTTTGCAGTCGGGCTCCTGACCGACCGTCTCCTGCCCGACAGCCTCGCAGTCGGGCTCCTGTCCGACAATCTCCTGCCCGACCATAACTTCACTGTCGGGCTCCTGTCCAATAGCCTCTTGCCCGACCGTAACTTCGCAGTCGGGCTCCTGTCCAATAGCCTCTTGCCCGACCGTAACTTCGCAGTCGGGCTCCTGACCGACCGTCTCTTGCCCGACCATTCGGTCACATATTGGGTCTGTCTTTTCTTCTATGCCCGACTTGACCTCCGACCACATATCCTCCAGAATTCCTTTACAGGCCCTTTGAGCCAACTCATCGGCACGTTGGTTTTCTTTCCTCGGAATGAACTCAATTATTACTTCTGAGATTTTCGTCAGTAACCGACCCACAATGTCCCTGTATCTGCGAAGATGAGGGTAATTGCAAACATATTGATTGTTTACCTGGTTGATTACTAGTTGAGAATCCCCTCTTATGATTACAGACTGGACCTTCCTGGCTATTAAAGCCTCCAGACCCAAAATTAAAGCCTCATATTCTGCCGAATTATGGGTCATGGCTTCCAATCGTAATTGTAAGTTGATCTTTTGACCATCAGGTCCTTGCAAAAAGACCCCTGCCCCTGATTTGTTTCCAGAGGTAGAACCATCAAAGAACATCAGCCATGTTCTGGTACTTATATAAGGCACACATCCGACCTGTAGATTATTCAAATATGATGAACGACCAAATGGTCGGACGCTATCACAAAGAGAATACCCGACTTGTGGAAATTCTGCTAAGAAGTCGGCTACTGCTTGTCCCTTGATTGCCCTCAGAGGGGAATGTTGAAGATCAAAAGGAGCCAATTTGATGGCCCACTTCATGAGTCTGCCCTTCATAGTAGGTCTCTGTAAAATCAATTTGATGAGATCCACCTTTGATATGACCTCAACTCTTCTGGGCAGCAAGTAATGCTCGAGTTTAGTACAAGCAAAGACCAACGAATAACACATTTTCTCTGGCATAGTGTAATTCAGTTCTGGTCCTGTAAGGGTTTTACTGAGATAGTAGATTGCCCTTTCCTTCCCGTCGTCACCATCCTGTGCCAATAAACAGCTAACCACTTCATATGTATTTGCCAAATAAAGTTTGAGTGGCCGACCTTGTTTAGGAGGCATCAAGACTGGAGGGTGAACCAATGCCTGCTTGATAGCATCTAAAGCTGTCTGTTGGTCGGGACCCCATTCAAAGGCATTTTTTCCAGCTTTCAACAATTTAGTAATGGGTTTGACCTTGCCAGCAGCATTAGAAATGAAACGCCTCAAATAATTCACCTTCCCCAACAGACTTTGGATTTCTTTAACCGTCTTGGGTGGCCGACTATCAAGAATGGCTTTAGCCTTGTTGGCATCGATTTCAATTCCTCTCTCATGAACTAAAAATCCTAAAAAGCTCCCAGCTGATATTCCAAAAGCACATTTGGTTGGATTCATCTTCAAATTGTACTTCTTCATTCTTTCAAATGCCTCTTCAAGATCTCTCAAATGTTCATCAAAACTGGCAGATTTAACAATAACATCATCAATATACACTTCCATAGATCTGCCAATTAAATCATGAAAGATTGAATTCATGGCTCTTTGGTAAGTTGCCCCTGCATTCTTTAACCCGAATGGCATGACTGTCCATTCATAAATACCTAAAGCCCCTGGGCACCTGAATGCTGTCTTAGGAATGTCTTCTTCTGCCAAGAATATTTGGTTATAACCTGCATAACCATCCATCAGACTAAGGATTTTATGCCCTGCTGCTGCATCTATCAACATGTCGGCCATAGGCATCACATATTCATCCTTAGGGGTAGCTAGATTCAAATCCCTGAAGTCGATGCATATCCTAATCTTACCATTTTTCTTGACCACTGGTACAATATTAGCCAGCCACTCCGCATAACGACAAGGCTGAATAAAACCCACTTTGAGAAGTTTTTGGATTTCTTCCTTAATTTGAGGCATTAAATCCGGGCTCATTCGCCTTGGAGGTTGTTTGTAAGGTTTCCAACCTTCTTTGATAGGCAATCGATGCTATATTAGACTTCTTGTCAAACCAGGCATCTCTGAATAATCCCATGCTAAACAATCAATGTTGTTTCTAATAACTTCGAGCATCATTGTTTGTTGCTCTTTAGACAAATAACCACTTAACCTGATCACTTTTGGAACCAATTCGGTTCCTAAATTAAACTCCAATAATGGGTCTTGTGATGAAGCTGTTGGTTCTGTTTTTTCTAATAAGTCGGGCCAACGAAATTGTTCATCTTCTTGAAGGTGAACATCCAGAATTTCTTTACTATTTTCTGCTTTATGTAATAACTGCTTTAAATAGAACTTATTTATAAGAGAACTACATACTTCTAAACTTGTATCATCCATTGTAAACAAATTATATGGGAATGGGTGTGGCTTTATCATGAGCCATACAATAAAGGTGTTCTTTTAATAGAACATCGAGTTCTGGCCAGTAACTTTATAACCCTTGTATGGGTACTCCCTGGCCATATACAACTGAGACATCGGAGCCAAATGACTAGAATAAAACACTGACTCTTCAACTTGTTCTGAGACATCGAATGGGTTGTCATTCGCTTCCATTTTGAAGACCTGATTTCCTTCCCAGAACATTAATTGTTGGTGCAGGGTTGAAGGCACACATTGAGAGGCATGAATCCAGTCTCTTCCCAGCAAGAGAGAGTATGTAGTATCTGCGTCCACAATAAAGAAAACAGTGGAAATCTTCTTTGGTCCGACTTCAATGGTGGCAACCATCATCCCTTCAGGCTTAGTCGGCTGCCCTGTAAAACTTGTCATTTCGAATTCCACAGGAGACAGATCATGAATTCCTTTCCCTAGCTTCTTGAGAGTCTTCAATGGCATAACATTAAAGACTGCTCCATTATCCACGAAAACCTTTGTGATTGGTTTCCCACAAATGTGAGCATTAACATACAGAGGCTTCAAATGGGAGATCGCACCCTCTGGAATAGGAGGAAACACAATCGAAGGTGGCTCCGGCTGAGGCTCAGAATCTGAAGTCTTTGCCCACTCTGTTTCCTCTAATTCATCATCTGCCAAGAATGCCCATAACGGTTCGTCCATAGTATCATCTACCAGACTCGCCCATATCGGTTCATCTCTCATCTGATTAATCTCTGTCATCCGACAAGGGATGCGTGGTCCCAGACGAGAAATAACAGATCTTGAACTTTCCTCTGTAGTTAGAACTTCTTCCTTCGTCTTGTTCTGAGGTTGAAGCGTCAAAGATTCTATACGGAAATCTTCAAGAGATGGATTGATGTTGATCCGTTCACAATGTTGGCATCTAAAACCTTTAATTATTTCATCTGCCATTCCTTTACCTTTCCCTTGTCCCGACGAACTTCTTTTGGTATGGTCGGAAGCGCCTGATTCGTCATTCGGTTGCTTTCCTGACCAGACCCGACTGGACCGACCAATTGGAGACTGAATGGCTGCTCCCTGCTCGTTGGTCGGTTGTTCTGTGGAGACTCTAACGGACCGATCTCCTGCCAAGTGGTCGGCTGCTTTTTGTTCGTCGGTTAGTTGTTTTGCTGAAGGAACCCGTTTCCCATACTTTGCAGCATACCTGCGTTTGGCATTGCGAATCTGTGTACGATTCATACCTGGGAAACGAGGATCTATATCAACTGGCAAAGGCTTTTTATTTCGAGCCCAATTGTTCCCGACTGACCCTGTTTTTCTGGTCGGGTGGTCACGCACTAACGCCCTTTCTTTCACCTCCACATTAAAAGAACCGTCTGGATGGTCCCATTTTTCAGCGACTGGTTTCTCACAAACTTTGAGTCGTTCTTCAGGTCGGCTGCTTTTTGGCTGATTTCCTTTCTTTGTTCCGGGGCTTGCCTGAGTTCGTTCCCCTGTTTGTCCATCATTGGCCGAACTTTTCCTTGTTTCCGAACTTAGTTGGATGTCAACCATTGCAGTTGTTACTTTCGGAAATGGTTGCTGATCTACACCTAGAGTGATGTATTTGAGCCGACCCGTCTTGATGGCCTTTTGAATTTCCTTCCTGAAATGAGTACACTGACTTGTAGTATGCGTGAAAGAATTATGCCACTTACAATATGGTCTCCCTTTGATTTCTTCTTTAGTGGCAAGTCTTTGCCCCTTTGGAATACGGATCTGCCCATCAGTCAGCAAGATATCAAAAATTTCATCAGCTTTTGAACTATCAAACGTCGGTTGCTCTTTTCCTTCAGATCCTAGTACTGGCTTTAACTTAGGGCATACATAAGGTTTTCCAGAAAGGATTTCGGCTGCCATCTCTTCTGACTGATTAAAATCAAAGTCACATGTTCCCGTTCCCATACTCGCCATATGTTGGCCTCTATTACGCCTGTTATGCTGATCTTCCTCTCTGAACAAAGACTCTAGACGTCCTGCTTTGGATGCAAGACTTGCCAAATCCTCAACATCCAGGGCAGTGAGTGCCTTTCTTAAACGAGTATGCATATTCCGGACCACTAAATTGGTCATCTCTTTCTCACTGATTACCGTAGGACATCGTCCCTTCATCAATCGCACCCTTTCTATAAATTGTGAAGCAGTTTCTTCTGGATACTGTCTCAATTCAAGTAAATCAGTTAAAGAAACAACTGGTAAAGGATTGAAGAATCTAGCGTGAAATGCCATCTCCAGTCCTTCCCATGTCTGAATTTGTCCAGGAGGCAGACTTACAAACCACGAAAACGCTGTTCTAGTAAGAGATAAACCAAACAGCTGTAACTTATAAAAAGGGTTATTGCCAACTTCTCCTAATTGTGCTGTGAACCGACCAACATGTTCTATGGTGGAAGATCCGTCCTCCCCTGAGAATGCATGAAAATCGGGTGGTCGAAAATTCCTTGGGAGAGGGTGTTCATTAATGATCCTTTCTGGGAAAGGTTTCTGATATGCAGGGCGGTTAGCCATCTGAGGAGTTAATCCATACTGATCCCTTAATATATGTGCAAGCTCATCAGGATCTACATGAAAGCGTTGATGATCAGGAACATGGAACGGATCCTGCACAGGAATATGAATAGGATCATGTATATATCCTTCAGGCCTGTCCTCCCTTGTATTGTTCGTCTGCGGATTGGTAACCCTTGGTCCCAGTGGAACAGTGTTGGGAAAAGTCAGAGGAGATTTTCCCCTATCCATTCGGTTGGGATTAGTGGCACTTGGGAATGTACTATCCACGAATGATGGCCCTGCGAAATTTGCCTGTAGTCTGGACGGTGATATTCCTGGTGGAGTTTGAGTGGGTTGAAGACTAACCCTAGACAATGCTTGATCTATCATGGTCTGCATCATGCTCTGTTGCTCACGCAACATATTCGTTTGTTGCTCACGCAACATTTGTTGAACATAAGACCACCAATCTGTTGGTGGTTGTGGGATTTCCCCGGCATTTGGCACATTAGGTGGTGGAACGGATTCTCCCACCGGTGCCGACGATGATTGAGGTTGTGAACCTGCCATATGGACCCTTCCGATGATACGGCCGGATCTTAGACGTATGTAATTATCGCCGGAATTGGAATGAGCAATTTTGTCTTGCTCCCACTGTGGTCGCCAATTTGTTGATGTAATTTTTCAACAAAAATAAAGTAAAATTCAAAGATATAGAAAATATCCTTAAACTTGATTAATTAGTGCCTGAGATTAGGAATCTCTAAACACTGTAATGTACAGAAAATAAACTGGAAAATAAAAGACTGAAATTTAAAGTGGTGATCCCCAAATCTGACTTTGCTTTGTTGAAGTTGATTGAAGATGCCTTGCCAAATGATTATCCAAGCCTTTAAATATTCTCTGGGAAACCGTACCGAAAACCGTCACCCGAACGGTTACAACGTCTCCTTCCCAACCGTCTTCCAACCCTTCTCATGCTGACACGCGTCCCCAGCAGACCAAAATTATCCCTATATTTCACTCTTTGCGCCGACCACAGACCTTCCGCTCTTTTGGCCCGACTGCCAATCTACAATAGTATGGGTCCGACCGCCAATCCTCCCGACTTGCGAACCATCTGGCTTGAGGTCTTTCCGCCCTGGGGACTTCCCGACCTGAAAACCTTCCGACTTGAGGTCTTTCCGTCTTGAGGACCTCCCGTCCTGAAAACCTTCCGACTTGAGGTCTTTCCGCCTTGAGGACTTCCCGACCTAAAAACCTTCCGACTTGAGGTCTTTCCGTCTTGAGGACTTCCCGACTTGAAAACCTTCCGACTTGAGGTCTTTCCGCCTTGAGGACTTCCCGACCTGAAAACCTTCCGACTTGAGGTCTTTCCGTCTTGAGGACCTCCCGACCTGAAAACCTTCCGACTTGAGGTCCTTCCGTCTTGAGGACCTACCGACCTGAGGTCCTTCCGTCCTAATGACTTTCCGTCTTGAGGACCTACCAACCTGAAGACCTTCCGACCTGATGACTTTCCGTCTTGAGGACCTACCGACCTGAAGACCTTCCGACCTGATGACTTTCCGTCTTGAGGACCTACCGACCTGAAGACCTTCCGACCTGAGGTCCTTCCGTCTTGAGGATCTACCGACCTGAAGACCTTCCGACCTGAGGACTTTCCTTAGTAATAAACCTATTTTCCTTGATTTCCTCATGGTGCCCTTCAGTCAGTTCAATCAACTCTATTGCCAGGCCCATTCTTCTTTTTACCTTGGGCTTTTAACCTAATTCTAAATTTCGTACGTAACACATGTCAAATCTTGTCTGCTCTTAACATCTCTGTTGGAGTAAGTTAAATTTTTATGTTTAATTAGGATGAACTATCTTTCCATGGAATGCATTTGATTCGATTTAGTAACTTAATATCTGCCTTTCAGCTGCATTGCTGCTCTACTTGGTGCTCAAGTAACTCTGACTGATCTACCGGACAGACTGAAGCTACTAAAAAAGAATGTCGAAACCAATCTTTACGGACACATACGAGGATCCGCAACAGTGAAGGAGCTGACTTGGGGCGACGATCTCGACTCAAATTTCACGGATCCTCTACCTGACATTGGTAAGTGAATCCTCTTTCCAATTAGTGCAGCCATATATAACAGTGGTAACGGATCGATGCAAAAATTACAGTGGTAGGGTCGGATGTGGTGTACAGTGAAGGAGCTGTGACGGATTTGATAGAAACACTCATGCAACTCTGCGGGCAACAGACAACTGTCATTTTGGCTGGCGAGCTTCGCAATGGTATTGAAATTCTTCCCGAGAGCTGAATGCATGTTTTTGTTATGAGTCCTGTCTCTTATGAATCAGTTGTGTGGCAGATGCCATTCTCGAATACTTTTTGGAAGCTGCGGCTAAAGAATTTGCTGTGGGCCGGATCGAGCAAGAGCAGTGGCACGCCGAATATCGCAGCTCACGTGTTGCTATATATGTGTTGGCGAAGAAGAAGACGACGACGACGATCAATTGATGGAACTGGCCTCCCCTTGTGTTCTGGTTGAGATGAGTCTCGCCGGCGCCATGTGAATGAAGGTAATGAGGTTTTGACAAATATGCAGTTGGTGGTGTCGACCGGAGGGAGCTTTTTTGGCCAATGGCGGCGGCAGACAACTGCAGCGCGCGATCGAGGTACAGCCGATTCAATCAACCACAAAATAGAGAAAAAATTGATGAATTTTTCTCTTTGAGCAAATTGCATAATATACATCTTATTTTTACTGTTTTTTTGCAACTAAATATAAGAAAAATAAATATATTTTTGATTTTAGGAATTAAAAAATTGATATTCTAAACGAGAACGTGTTGTAAAACTATATCAGAGAAATAAACTAGAATTAAAATCAATTAAATGCGAATGCTTAATAATAAAAAATCTTGTATCCCCAATTTCCCCCACCACCATATGGTATATATTGGTAAGATATATCCATCACTATATGCATAAAAAATACATCACTTCTTCCTAACTCTCACTCACCAGTATAAAATAAAATTAATGATTTGAGTATGTCCGAAGCAAGCACTATTGGCGCTTGCCTGCCATATATATAATAATATTTGACTGTTTCTTGACCAACCGTGGCTCTTTCTTGGCCAAAGTTAAATCCTCCTACATCATCCCCACGTTGTCATTTGTCCAGATTCTACGTTTCATCCTCCAATCCTAATCCTAATCCTAATTTCTTCAGCTTTGAATCCCATTAATCACTCAATCATTCGTAATCAATCTTAAATTTCTTTCCTCGATCCGCCTGTCTGTCGATACCCCATTTCTTGAATGGTGTGGATCCACCCAAGATTGGAACTCTGCATCCATGGAGGACAGGGAAGGCCAAACAATAAATAAATAACTCGCCCCATTATATCAATTACAGTATATCTGTATCTATGTAATGTATATAAAATAGTTGTGGACAGCGGGGAAGGTGAACTTATTACAGCCATGGAGGTCTCTAGCTCTTCCATTACACCTCACATCACGTCTCTTTCCCCCAAAACGTACCCTTTCTTGTTCTGAATGACATACATCTTACATCATCATAACAAAAAAGACAAGTAATGCCAATGGATTTCATTGAAAATAAAGGAGAAGAAAGTTGTCGAATTTGAGGTCGATTATATATGTACAGAATCCGATTATGTATCTAAAAACTAAAATTAGATTAACAAAATAAGGAAATTGAGGGTATGTGGTGCCTGTAGTTTAGATTACTCCGCCGAACTGGCAGGCAGGCAGGCAAAAAAGGAGAAAGGTGCTTCTGTTCATACGCGCATTATTAATAAAAAGGGAAGGTGCAGAAGCAGCGGCAGATGATCGTCCTTTCTAGAGCTGCGCGGCTGCCTAAGCCCATGGCTTCCTTCTCTCGCCCCCGCCCCAGCTCCCGGGTCGGTCTCCTTCTCCAATTTCTTATACTTAAATCCCTAGATTTGTTTTTCTAATCAAGGGTTTCTCGATTTGATCAGAATTTCGTGTTTCTAATCTGTGTCGGTGGGATCTTTCTGGGTCGCTAGATTTCCGGGGCTTTTCTTTGAAATTCTTTTTATTTTATTTTTCTTGATAATTGGAAAAGCTTACTGAAACGCAATTGTGTTCGTATCTTTGTTCTGCAATAAATTTAGCGTAATTTGTCGATTGGATTGGTTGGTTGTTTTTTGAGATTAGTTGTTCATCATGTTTGGATCGGTTGCTTTCCTTCTTTGCATATGGCATCGCATTTAGAGATTCTGTATAAATTGGGGGTTTTAGTTTATTATTTTCGTTTCAGCTTGATGATTGGCAGTTCAATATTGTCTAGATTTCGATGTCCTTCCGGGTTTTGCTAATGGTCGTTAATGGTGTTTTTATTTCAGAAGGGTTCGGAGATATGTGTATGGCCTGGAATGGGACAGCTTTGCTTAAGAAAGAATCTTCTCTATGGGTTTATGAGGCTGTTCTCGATGCCATTCAAAACCTTGTGCAGTGTTAGCCGCAGAGTCGGAGGAGTTTCTCAATTTTGCAGTGTCAGTATGTGTATGCCATCAAATCTGCAAATTGAACTGGTGAGTTGCACATTCGGGTTTCGGAATTTTTTAAAGAGAGTAATGATTTTGTTTTCACAGAATTACTTGTGAATTATTTGGCTAAGGAGTCAAAAAATTGAATGAGGTTGATTGTGTTAACTTACATGAGAATGTATATTATGCTAGAAGGTTATAAAAGCTCACCATGCTTTGCCATGAATCCGAATGTCTGATGAATGTTTGTTTTAGTGATTCATAGTTTAGAAAAATATTTTGTATTTTGGTATAACGGCACATGTCTTGGCATAAAATTGTATGTTTGAAGGGAAATAAAACTATCTGAGAAGATGCTAATTATGTCGATTGAATGTAATGGTTTGTTAACACTATAGTTCACTTCTTCATGTCTTTATAAGTATGAAGAGACAAATTAAGAACAATTAGGCGATGATTGGCCGTTGAATTTTCCTTAATATATTCAAATAGAGTAGGTAGTGGGGTAAATTTCCTACCTTATGATCTTCAACGTTTACCTGGTGTGAAATCCAGGCTAAAGACTCGAACCGCCTAATATAATTACATAACTGGACAGAAATGACGCATTTATTTATTTGTTGGGATGTCGGGTTGGTTGCATTTGTTTCTAATTTTTCTTGATCTGAAAAGCTTAAAGTGCTAGGGACAAAGGTGATTTATCCATGGATATTTGTTTAGATTTAGCTCGATGATTTGACCTGATTGTTTCTTTTTACTCTTGTAGGTACCTTGCCTTCGAGATAACTATGCATATCTATTACATGATGTAGATACTGGAACTGTAGGAGTGGTTGATCCGTCTGAAGCACTACCTATTATCGACGCATTGAATAGGAAAAACTGGAATTTGAACTACATATTAAACACTCACCATCATTATGATCACACCGGTGGGAACTTGGATTTGAAAGGAAGGTATGGCGCAAAGGTATGATCTACTTTCCTTTCATTTATGTATCGTAACTGAAAAAACATGATTTCATTCAAAGAAATGATGAGTGCAGAACTAACACCTAATCTAGTACATTATGTATTCAATATGCTATTTATTTCCTTTGTGTGAGTCTAGTGATTGGTGATTAGGTTTGTTTTTTCTTCGTAAGAGAAGTTGACGAAATGGTTCTACCTAAGGATTTGTTGTATCCAATCACTTTTAGATGCTTGTTTGGTATTTCATTTTTATATAATCCTCGTAATTCTATGATTTGATACTTAATCTACCAAACTTTTATATGCATCTCCTTAGGTAATTGGATCAGGTTCAGATGCTGAGCGAATTCCTGGTATCGACATAGCTCTAAATGATGGAGACAAATGGATGTTTGCCAGCCATGAGGTGGTTGTGATAGCGACGCCTGGTCACACACGAGGTTGTACTTGACTACTTGTATAATGATAGCCCATATCATGCTTATGATTAAAATGCATCCGATTAAAAAAAAAAGAAAATGGTTTCTATGTTTGAGTTCATTTAATTTCTCTAATAATTGAATGGCTTAAATCTATTATCCTTAATTTGTAGTAGCTACTATTTGTAATTGAGGTATGTGGCTGCCGCCATTCGACTCAATTCAGTGGAAATACTTATTATTTAAGTTCCCATCGCTTAATTTCCTCAACCGGCTTGACTGCGGCGGCTGTTTTTTGTTTGAACACTTGTAGAACCCGAATGCAAGCGAAACTGTTTAATTAACTCGAATTCTTGATTTTAACCAGGGCACATCAGTTTTTACTTTCCTGGATCAAAGTCGATTTTCACAGGGGACACATTGTTTAGTTTATCATGCGGTAAACTTTTTGAAGGAACACCCGATCAGGTAATGCATTATTTTTTGCTTCCTCAATGTAACAAGTTGAATCTTGAGCTAGAAGATACAAACAAATGCTGTCTGCACTTATGTGTTCTTCTGTCTGATGGATCCTCCTGTTTGCTGATATGGCTGGTGCCATGGATTTTAGTCGCATTGTCTGTGATAATCTTGATAGCTTATGCATGTTTGAAAGAGATCTAATTCAGGATGCCATATTAATGGGGGAAAAATTAATAGATTACAAAATTTACCATCGGTATTTCCTTACATGTGTTTCTTTTGATTTCTGTCGAATTGATTGAGCTCATATGTGTATTCTGCCTGTATCTTCCCTCCCATTCTTCGAATCCTGCTTTGCCTTTGTATTCTCTCCCTATTCATGGAAAACCTCTTATATGTGATTTCATTGTTTTGTAATAGATGCTTAATTCCTTGAGGAAGATCACTTCGCTGCCTGATGACACTAACGTGTACTGTGGTCACGAATACACCTTGGTAATTTTAATTATGTCGATCCCCTTGTTTTCTGCCCCTTTCTTCAGCTAATGTGATAACATAGCTGATATTTGTCTATACTGCTTGGCAGAGTAACTCCAAGTTTGCACTGTCGATTGAACCGGGAAACAAGGAATTGCAGTCTTATGCTAATCATGTAGCTCACCTTCGCAACAAGGGCTTGCCAACGGTATTCTCTACTATTCATGATTATTCATAGTCAACAATCACGATGGATTATATTATTTAATCATATTTTAAGCGATTATGTTGTAACACTATTGGGTAGATAGTCATGAAAGCAAGCATATGATAAGGATAATAAAATAAATAATCATTCATAGTAAACACACCTAGCGGGAGGGCAATGTGATAATTTGAAATATATGTCCGAGTTATGATATATATAATGAGCGATACATAAATAGATAGAGTAATCTGTTCCTTTATCCAAGAAAAAAATATTTTCTAGTTTGCATGGTCTAATCATTGATCCGAAAAATTTATACAATAAAATTGGGTAGGTTGCTAGTATAGTTCTCTATCCATGATTATGCTATTTAATGCAATCATTTTACTGGAATATATTTGTATCTTTTTAATTTTTTTATGTTCGGTGGTTGACTCCGTAATATACAAAAATAAATAAATAATACATATCCCTTTAAAGTATCATTTATTTATTTATATATTACGGAGTCAGCTAACACGCTCCTCACGTGCAATGTGGAATTACTCCACATATGACTTGAACACGGGATGTCGAGTTTAGTTTTTAAGTCAGATGGTCATTTAATAATGTTCTCGAGGGCCTTAAAATGTATCTATATTTCATTCTGCATATTCCACTGAATTGTCAGTTTCCTGATCCTATATTGCATTCTTGTGCATTAGATCCCAACCACGATATCGAAGGAGAAGATGTGCAACCCGTTCCTTCGAACTTCAAGCAGTGAAATTAGGAAGTCGTTGAACATTCCCGGGACTGCAGAGGATGGAGTGGCCCTTGGCGCCATCCGTCAAGCCAAGGACAACTTTTAGGTCGAATGAAGAAACACGGCCTTCTCTTACTAGCCATGAAGAACTCATGTACAAAACCATTGCAGACGATTTTAAGATGACACATTTTATAGGTCAGATCATTTTCTTCTTGTCATTAATCCAACTATTTTCATGAATTACGCATCGACTGGGGCATAGCACGACAATTGTCACTTGGATGAACTGCTAGTAGCGTGTTAGAACCCGAATACTGATGAAATTTTGCTTCATCTGTCGAACCGAGCTTGGGTGCATTGTGTTGCCTATTGAATGCTTATTGTCATGAGCTAGTTTGGTGATATTCATGCTTGTCATAAATGTGCATATTCGAAAGTGCAACTGATTTCGACAATTTTATTTAGCATTGTTTGTCTAGTGTGTCTTTATTTTACCGGTATAGTTTGTAAGTTATTGTGATCGATAAGGGGTTTGTTCAATGCACACTAAAGAATAGCGGCAGTGGATTTTTATGTCATAAAAAAAGAAAAGAAAATTACAATAGATTTTTATGGTTTAGTCGGAAAAGGGTGTTTTTGTTTCTCAATAAATTTTAGATAGTGAGACACACTTGAGCAATTCGATGGGTTTTTTGGGGTCGCTGCTATAACGGTTAAGAAATAAGAATGATGATGTTTACAGGTCATTGTTAAGAGCTTCATTGTCTACTTAACCAAACGGCCACATAAAACAAAGGTTACACAACATATCAAATATAAGTACAATTTCTCAATTGAGGAGTACATTTTTTTTTTTTGGATGACGTGGGAATCTGCAGCCGCTATCCGAAAGTGCGCATTAGATAAACCCTCGGTCGAACCTAATACTCTGCAAACCAGATCCGACGGGAAAGTCACACTAGGCGAACCATGTGTGGCAAGTGACCTGATGTGTCAGGGGTTTGAACCCATGACTCACAATCACAAGTTCAACTCCTACACCACCAGACTATCCCTTACTTAGATAATATATAGCTTAGCGCATTGCTGCTCCCTTATGTCGTCTTGGACTACCAAACAACCTACGGTCTCTTCGGTCGTTACAATGTACAACTTCAATCTTCAGGGACCTTTCAGTAGTTGGTGGTACTAAAACCAATGGAGAGACTAGTAGTTGCTTAAATTAAGAAAAACTAAGAAAGTATTTATCATTCCAATATCATTAATGACGAACAATGTAGAAAATTGTTCTTTTTTTTTTTTTTTTCCATAAGACTTTGAAGCTCCTTAATGTTCATGGAGGCCCAAGCTCTTAGACAACTTTGGCTCTATTCTCGTCAATTTTAATTCCTTTTTGGTGAACTAAGAAACCCAGAAAGTATACACTATAATCACGTTATAAAATTTATAATTTATATTTTTTTATTTTAACTAAACTATTTAGTCATCTTAATTTTAAATTTATAATTATTTTTATTAAATCGTAATTATTTTTACTAATACAGTTTTTAATTACTTACTAATTACATAATACATAAAACTCCGTGCCCAGCTAATGTAGACAAATTAACTGGGACAGAGTAAATATATTTTAACGATACTTTATCAAATTGTGCACCCACTTAAAAATCCGTCTGGATTCGCCACTGGTAACCGTTCATGAAAATATGAGGCTTGGTGTCCTGCCATGGCATTGATAAGCATGTCCGCTACCAGAATTACATATTTTCTTTTGGCATGACAAGAGTAAAGTTCCTGTAATCGATCCATATCCATAGCTTCCCATTCATTTTCATCATTAGAATGATGTTTGAGATCCATTCAAGATAACAATAAATGCATATCAAATTAACCTTTAACAGTTTCTCTATTTCTTCCTTAACTTTGGGGAGTACGCCAAGATTAAATCTCCTAAGAGGTTGTTTGTGCGGGCAGAAGCAACATTTGGTTGGAAATCGATCTTTGCTCCAGGCTAGCCATAGCATTTCATCATCATGCCAAGAAAAATAATCTTGAATGCCCACATAACGCGAACGAGGTGTTCCATGTCACGTTAATAATGAGCTGATACAAGTCTATCCTCAGATTTATATCATCCCTTAAGTTAACATCTTCCAGCAGATCCTAGATCATGTACATTGAAAGTCAGAATAGTCCTAGGAATTGGATAAAAAGCTCTTTGTTGCGAAATTATATATATATTTTCTGAAGGGAGTCAATTTCTTTCTTTCTTTCTTTTTTTCCGCATGCTTTGGTACCCTTCTAGTACAAAGGCCTATGATCTTCTACAAGGTTGTTTTCCATTGCAAATTGATTGAGCTCTAGGATGTAGTTCGGACTAGTTCATACCTCGAACTCTTTGGCAGTGAGATTGCATTCATCCTAGGCCTCAGTGTCGTAGGGTCTTGGAACTCATCATTTCACCCTTTATTTTTGCCTATGGAAGCTACCTTCTACGCCATCGGATCCTCCAATGTACATATGCGTAATTGCATCTAAGGAACAAAATACGATTTGTCCCATTGGACGTGCCATAAATGTTGTTGTTGGGAATTACAATGTGGATTATATTGAAAGATTGAAATATGTTAGACAAAAAACTTGAAAGTGAGAAAAGAAGAAATTAATGAATTCAAAAAAAGAGAAAAAGAGTAGTTGGTTTTTTGGGAAGATGAGAAGGAGAAGGTCCAAAGCCCAAGGGTTGGAGCTGGCCCAATAGAAGAAGTAGTGAGCCATATGTTGGGCTAAAAAAAATTTGGAGGAAAAAGCTCAAGAGTGAGAAAAAAAAAGAAAAAAAAAAGCCCATTTTGGTTGGAGCCCAAGAAAGAAGGTGATGACCAATATGTGAATTATGGAAGCCCATTTGATAGAGACCCAAACGGAAATGGCTGACCCATATGGAATTGTGAAGCCTAGCCATTGGAGGAAAATGTGCAGTGGAACTTATGAAGGAAAGAGTGAACTTAAGGTTACAACGGTTACCAAGACATGGGAAGTAATGAATCAATAATTGTCTTGGAGGTTTTTAACCGTTACTAAGTGGTGGGATAACCCACCATTCAAGAAGCTTGGAGTAGTGGGAAACTTCATTTAAATAAGTTACTCAAATGCCATAGAGGTTTTGGTGGTTAATGAAGCTAATTATTGGAGGAAGTATGAGAGTTATGTAAAGATCATTCAAAGAAGTTGAAGTTATCAGTGACAAATTAATGACAATTTAGGAGTTTCGGTGGTTATGCAATCAATTGAGCGTCTTCAATAATGTGAAGCCAAAACTATACAAACTTCATGAAACTGCATCAAATTCTCATACTTTCGAAACTATGTCAGACTCTTTCGTGATTTCATAAACTCTGCGTCTAATCTCATTGGCCGTTTTTATTTAATAGTATTTGACCTGCACGTGCCCACACTGTGAATGTGTTTCGAAAACTTTATTTCTAAACCTTTAAAATTACAAATATACTTATTCTTCTTATATTTAGCCTCAAGGAAAATTAAATATACTCAGAAATAATTATTTTTATTTTGTTATAAGAATATTTTAAATATTTTTTATGCTAAATATAAGAAAGAATAAATATATTATTAATTTTAATGGTTTAAAAATGGAGATATTGAAACTCATTCACAGTTTAAAGGCGTACATGTCAAACACCATTAAATAAGTTTATGAGAGGGTTAGATGCAAAGTTTATGAAACCATAAGGAAGTTTGACGCAGTTTTGGAAATATACGAAATTTGACGCAATTTTGTGAAACTACAAGTGAATTTTGTCCAATTTTGCTTAATGTGAAATCAAAAAGCAATATTTAGAGCTAGTCAATCTTGAAACTATATAAGCTGGAATTCAGAGAGGAAGAGGGTCCCCGACCAACAACACAATTTTCAACTTTATCATTTTTATCTTTATTTTTTTGTATTTTACTTTTCTTGCAATTTTGTTTTACACAAGTTTATTCATTTTTCTTCCAACTTTCCTTTCAATTCCATATGTACCTTTCACGCATTTTCTTTCTAGTTTGGAAAAATTGTCCATAACTCCCTTGTAGTTTCGAAACTCGGCGTAAATCCCCCATTTACTTTAAGAATTGCATGGAGCCCCCTTATACTTTCAAAAATGTTGTATGAAACCCTTTTGTGGTTTCGAAACTCAGTATAAATATCCACTTTGCTTAAAAAAATTGTATGACTCCCCCTTATACTTTCAAAAATATTGCATGAAACCCCCCGCCATGCAAAAAATATGGATAGAAAATCATCATCCCATCACACAACGGAGGTTTCATGGGGTTGGGGTTTCATGCAACATTTTTTTAAAGTATAGGGGAGTGCTATGAAATTTTTAAAGTACAGGGAGATTTTACGCAGAATTTCGAAATCACAGGGGAGTTATAAGCAATTTTACTTTCTATTTGAATGAAATTTCATTTTCAAAGTATTTTCTTGTTCATATCCTTCGGCGAATTTTCTGCTAGTCAAATTTTCCGCAGACACATAACATTCACTTAGGGGCTTTCTAAAGTAGCCTAGGAGACCCTTATCTATTTTCCAACGATTTCATCGAGCCGTCATAAAATTAAGAATATTCAAATTTTGGGATACAAAAGATAGTATCTGTACAGTGCCAGACATTGCTTCAAATGCCAAATAAACATATCCAACCATTAAGCGATTTTGTAGTTTAATTTAGACAAGATACAAAATCTATAAAGGAAAGTCGAGGATTTTTCTCATCCTTGCTTCTTTATCTAGAAAGTAATAAAAGATAATGGTGTAAAAAAATAAATAATGAAAACTCAAGTTACAGCACACAATTCAATTTGTTGGCCTAGAAAATCAATTTCCGGCCTAAAACTCCTTGTTAAGGATTAATGGGTTTTCGGGTGTCTCCATACAAATCTTTGGTGGTACGTGATAATGTTGGGAAAAGATAATATAAAAGAATTGAAGAAAATATGATAGAAATGAGTTTCAATTGATTGAAACATCGAATACACTAGTATTTAAGAAAAAACAAACAAAATGCAAGCAACACAAATGATAAATAAAAGATAATTTTTGGATGAATGATAGCTGCCCCTGAACTACTCGGATGCTCTTCTTCTTTTGGTTTTTTAAATAAAATATCTTCATTAAATTTTGGGTTAATAGTTTCTATTATTGCACTCAATTAATCCTCCATAAGTTTTGTAACATCTCCTTGGTGATCTCAAAGGATTTTTGTAACCTTCATTCATCTTAATGCAACATGTTTAACTTCAGATCAAATCAACTTCTTTGAATCAAGACGGTTGGGCTTTAAATGACATCATTCGGGGTGAAAAGATTACATTGAATGGATTTTTCTTTCTTAATCCAAGCATTGTCTACAGTAGTAATTCGACCTATATTAGCAAACTCTGACCGATAAATATTCTGAAA